TTTTAATACTATTTTTCAAAGTTGTATAACAAATGTAAACTTATACATTAACTTTTTTTCAAACTTTAGATTTTTTTCATTTATTCAACATGCTTATTTAGTTAGAATAAGATAAAATAATAATAATAATAATAATAATATTTGAGAAAATACCCAATTAAATGGCTATTACGTTGAAATTAAATTTAAGATTAAAAAATTATAAAAAATAAAGATTTTCTAAATATATTTTATAAATCCCTTAATTCAAAAATAAAAAATAATTTTAGTCTCAAATATAAAGTAAAAGCAATAAACTATTTTTCAAACTCATCAAGTTTAAATAATATAATTAATTATGTATTTTGAAAGAAGACATATTTCCAATTCATTTGGTAAGCTTGTCAAGCTTAAGCAACTATTTAAATTAAGTGTTGTCAAAGAAGAAAGATTTGTTGATTTATTTGATAAGCTTGTCAAGCTTGACTAATCACTTAAATGATGTGTTGTCAAAGAATAAGTATTTATAAATTTATTTAGTAAGTTTGTCAAGCTTAAGTAACTACTCAAATCAAGTGATATCAAAGGTTCATAATTAGAATACTATCAAATTATTAATCCTCAAATTACATGCTTGCTCTTTAATGTGTTTGTAATTATTGTTATTTAAATCTATATTTATTTAGCTTGTTATTACTTGTTTGGACTATTTAGCTTGGATTTGTTATGCAATAATGGTTGAGAATTTTATTGTTCTATGTCCACTATTTTACGTATAAAATTTGTATTATTTCAAGTGATTCTCACATTTTTGGTTATAAAAAATTTATTTTTTACTTAAAGAACTAAAAATACATGAGGTTATTTTTTTATGCTTCTTTTTTCTACTAACTAAAATTTATAGGTTTTGAATGAATATTTTAGAAATTTATTTTAATAATTAAAGATTGAATTTTATAATTAAGAAAAAATACTAAATTAACTAAGATAATTGCCTCCGAGATTGACTAAAATTCCATAGTTATGAAGTTTTCCCTATTAAGAATATTGTACCTCATTTAAAATAAGTCTTATTCATAATTGATAAATTACCATATCCAAATAAAACTTTCCAATATAAAGCTCTTTTTCTCTAAAATACTCACAAGACTCAACGTGACAAAGAATGGCAAGTCAAAGGAGCTTCTCTACACAATACCTTTCAATTCTAATTGATACTATGAAAGAAAACGAACATAAAATACTAAATGGATAAAAACTCTCTAAATTAAAGCTGGTTAAATAAAATTGATGTAGTATACTTACTACATCCAATTGACATGGTTTGGCACAATGCCACATCATGTAACAATATTATAAGCCTGAATTTATAAATACTTTTAACTTTGTAATGTTTTAAATTATGTTTTATCTATTGTCATCAATTAGTCGGTGTAAGTACAAGCTGAAGGGTCTAGCTACTATGTTTGTGCTACAGATATTCTTCTGCATTACTTATAAAGATGTAAATGACATTAATGCTATTAAAAATCTAGTAAGACTGAGCTAATAATAAAAAAATAAAATAAAAAATTACAAAGTCTTTTAATAAAATCTGATTTACTTAACCTTATTGTTTTACAAATTCTTCTTATTTGTTTAATTAAAAATTTATGCAATCTACAACAGTTTTTATACTTTAAAATTGGTTTGTAAGTTTCATAATCTCTATGGAAATAATTGAACTACTGAAAAAGCTAAGAAAGTTTTAGAAATAAAATAAAATAAAATTTAATAAAAAATCCCATAAACCAAAAACTTTGCTTCAAATGATCACAACTTAATGTGCATTATCACTCTGCTTGATATATATTGCAAGGAAAAACAGATTAGAGAAGCAAAATATTGATCCCTTTGAACAATAAAGCATATTGTAGCTCTAAAATCTATAAACCTACAACACAATAAATTATTTGATGCAGATGCTTGGAATCTTAATAATTACTTTGTGCTAATAACTCTACTGTTACAAAGCTAATTGAATTATCATTTTGTAAAGTTACAGTTTATGCAATAAATCTTGCTTCATGATATTAATTTATGAGAAAGTATTTCAAAACACGTTGGAGTGCTAATTACCTTAGTTTGGTATACATGACATCTGTACATATTCATCATTTTGATATTCAATACATTCACATCATACTTAACTCAAACCCAAACTTGTTAATTAATGTTCAACCTGGTCGTTAAAAACAACAAGATTGAAGATTTTACTTTAATTGTGTCAATTTAATAATATAGATAATATACATTCAACATTCAGATATTACACTCATATGTTTTTGTTGTTATTATCATTATTACTTGATTCTATATCGTCCAAGAAATAAACTAGATTTATTTCAACGTTTTTTCGGTGTAAAGAGCTTCACAAACTCTTAAAGACACTTCAAGTTCTGCTTGCAAACCTCCCTTGCTAATTCAATGAACCTCTGCATCTGTTTAGAAAATTATTCATCAATTATCAATAAACCACAATCTACTAATAAATTACAACCTACACAATCTTTGACACCCTCTATGATTCTCTATATTTAACAAATCACATTTACACATTGATGTTTTTTTAAAATGAATATTTGCATAAAAAACTTGATATGATATATCCAAAATAAGTTTATGCTTATACTTAATCTTTAAATATACCAAAATTTTCTGATTTTTTAGTTTTTATTTTTTGAATTTTCACAAGTTATATAAGACAATTCCTTGGAACATAATTTTATTATGGGATGATTGTTTCCTACTTCATGAAAGATACACAAGTCTCTTTTTTGTTTTTTGTTTTAAAAAAAAGCAAACACAATAAGAAAGACAGATGTTTTATTTTAGTACCTTGGTGCACCACAATAGCATGGGATTTTTTTATCTTCAAGAGAAAACTTGTAATCATATGTAAGCTCTTCTCCAGCTCCAATTGCTCGCTTTGAATAAATCACCACCTTCTTTCTTCCTTCCACAGTGATGATCTTTGTATAACAGTTTGGCTGCAAGACAAGAAAACAATTGCTGTGACTTTTCTAGACTCACGTTTCTTTTATAAATACTTCTAAATTCTCAAAATAAGAGTAAAGTTACTCCTAAATTCCTAAGGTATATATATATATATATATATACATGTGTGTGTGTTAAATTAGGGGAATGTTAAATAGACCCGTGCTTTTACTAAATAGACCTATTAACATTCCCCATAGTAATTCCTCAAAAGTTCTATTAAATTAGTTGAATGTGTTTTTAAGAGTTAACTTCTATAAATAAACTAAATATATTCATGATGTTTTTCCGCATGCTATGCAGTTCTTTAGTCCACTTTTCCATTTTATTTGAGAAGATGAATTGTGATCTCCTATTTCTCACATATTAAATAAGTTGCCATTAAGAAAATCAAAATGTTTATTAATTCATGATTAATTTGATGTAAGTAAGGATTTACATTGCATGAGTGATTGATAAACCTTGCAAGTCCACCTTTTTGGGTTGCATCCACCTGCATAGGAGATCATTTTATTTTATTTTATTTATTTTTATTTTTCATGTAATTTCAACAACAAATATCAAAAGAATGTATTTTATTTTTATTTTTCATGTAATTTCAACAACAAATATCAAAAGAATGTATTTTATTTTTATTTTTATTTTTATCAAAATGATTAATTCAGAAGAAAATTTTAAGTTTTTTCTTTTTAATTAAAATGATGAACTAACCACCAATTCATCATCAACTCGAAATAAATAGCTGCTACCAATACCCATTATTTCATATTGGCGCTCTCGAAAATTTGATACCTACAAATACATACAGTACAGGCACATGCTAAAATATACTTGAAATAATTTTATCATAAAGCAGAAAAATAAAGCAAGTAGGTTAAGCAATCAGTTTATTTGTGAATTCAATTATTGGCATTTGTAGCTATTTTATTCTCATTGTGAAGGAAAAAGAATAATCTACCTGGCGGCGAATAATTTCTCCAACATATTCAATAACAAAATCTTCAGCTTCAATAGACTCCAATGCAAGTAGTCCCCAATCATGGATTTTGCTTCTTTGAAATTTCAGATGTTTCTTCCTAGTCTACACAAATATTCCACCGCAACCCTTTTAAATACTAAACACAACATTCTGCAATCAACATTTAAAAATAAATAAATAAATAAATAAATCCTGCATAACCTATTCTTCTCTTCCAAATTAATGTATTTTGATTCAAAGGATCATGAAAAATTTCAAAACCATTAACCTCTCTCTCTCTCTCTCTCTCTATCTATCTATCTATATATATATATATATATATATATTTAAATTGATCCAAGCATTTACTAAATTGTTGCACCCATTCTAACCATCATCAAAAAAACTCTCCACAGCCAGATCCACATTGATTGAAAACCAATGAAAAATTGGTTGGATCGTCAATTCCCTGTGTGTGTGTATATACAGAAATATATATATATATATATATATATATACACACACACACACATAAATATGTTATCTTTGTTAAACATATTCTACAACTCAACCTTTTGCATGCAAAAATAACACAAAAAGCACGACAATGTGGTGACATTGTAGCACAACACACATGCTTGAACACAAAACTGCTATCGATGACTGCGAAGGGCCAGCATTGATAACCGAGCGTCGAGATCGATTTATACCTAGACGAAGATTCGATTGATATCTATAGTTCAATCATACCTGGTATCCGCAGGGAAGTTTTGATTGATAATTTGGTTTGATAACTAGGAAGAGGAATGGCGGGTATTACGGTGAGTTGGCTGAGCTTCAGTTTGTCGGAGCCTTCAACGACGCTGATGAGTTTGCGGAGGGCGGCGCGGTTCGTGCGAGCTGATTGCAGGTATGTCGCGGAGCTCGGATTCGGGCGCACCACGCTATCGATCATGCCCCTGCTGATGCTGCTGGTACTGATGCTGTCTTGCACCTTCTGGCGGAGCCGATGTTTGGCGCCGTGGTGAGCCCACCGTCTCCATTTCCACCCGGAGATCGAGCACCTCGCGCACCCGAAAGATTTGTTTCCTGATAATGGCTTCTGGTGGCTCCGTTTCCGGCACGCATTGCTTGTGGAGAACATGCCTCTGATTTTCGATACTGGGTTCTTGGGTGTCATTGTTGTATTTCCACAATTTACTTTCTTCTTGGGATTCAATGGCCATTTTCTTGGCCGACCTCGTCTTCTCTTGAGTGGTGCTTGTGATGTTAGAGTTTTGGTGTTGCTTGTCATATCAATGGAGCCATGTTGTTTCGTTGGGTTGGAAGGCACTGCGGCCGACGACGACGTTGTTGTTGTTGTTGTTGTGGTGGTGGTGGTGGTGGTGTTGTTGTTGCCGCTTTTGCATTTCAGCATTGCTGGAACGTCCGAGGATTTTTTCTTTCCGGTTTTGCATTCGGTTGTGAGAGTGTCTTCTGCTTCCAAGCCGAGGATGTCCATGACAGCTCTGTTTCTTGGTTTTCCGTCCCGTCGAGGCTTGCCCCCATGTGTCTCATCGTCGTGATCTGTGACCAACGGAGTCTCTCTCTTTCGTTTCAAGATTCTGGAGGTGATGGAAGACTTCGTAAGGGTGGGGATCGGGTACCTCTTCATTGCTTCATGCTTGGCTGGTTTGGAATGGATCCGTTTTGCTTCCACTGAAATGATGTGCTTTGGCTGGGCTGGCTGCTTGAAATCAATCCTCATAGGACTGTCTTCGGAGGCACTGGGTGTGGTTGCACTGCTATAGGACCTTTTGTTGCTTCTCTTCGTCTTGTTTGATTGAGAAGGTGAGTTGGTTGATACCTCTGTGTGGTGAATCCCTCCCGTCTCGAGGGGTGAAGTTGTTTTTTTCGGTCTTCCTCTTCTTTGATTGTAGTTTTTATTGAGAATGGCAATCCCGAGGTTGTCGTTTGTGGGTGGTGAAACTGGTACTAGCGCTGCTACTTCTACTTTCTTCTCCGTCATCATCTTCGTATTTGCTGCGGCAGCAACAACAGATGGGTTCATGTGGTTCTTGCAGTCCATCTTGCTGTGTTTTGGTTTTGGGATTAGATCCACTTTTGTGGATCGTTTTGCTTGGTCGGCCTCTGTCGGACCCTTGCTTTCAGTGTTGTTTTCTTCTCCAAGCGGCCAAACCAAATCATCAGAAATACCTGGATTCTTGCCTTTATTTGTTGAGCTGCAAAGTTGATACTCCAGTATTCTCTTTTTCCCTAGTGTTGTCATGTTGTTTTCTTCCTTTATCTCATGAATGAGTTGGCTTCTCAAACCTGTACTCAAGTCTTCTTCTTTCCCTTCTCCTTCTACTTGTGTATCGAGAAGTCCTTCAATCTGAGTATTTTGCTGACATTCTAGTGTGAATTCTTGTGGGGTTGTTTTGAAAGCAATCGATGAAACTTGTGTAGATGTTGTGAATAATTTTTGGTGTTGAGATTGACATTTTTTACTCCTCTCTGGTATCTAAAGTTTGATACAATTGTTGATATCAATGACGAAGCAAATGTTTTGTCAGTAATGGTTACATGTACCTAAATTTAAACATTTTATTGAAAAAGAATTATTATAATAGTAGGGTTCAATAATTACCTCCATATCAGTTTTTGTATCACATGAATTTAAACTATCACTTCTTTTGATGATATTGTCTCTTTTATCATGTCTTTTCGATCGATACACAAATGTATCACGAGGTTTAGAAATCAAATTTTCTTCACGAAGAAGTGAATTAATGACCGCATCCAAAATTTCTCTATAAGCCGCATTCAGTGTAGCTGTATGAAGTTTTTGTTGTACAAAATCTAATGCAATTTTACGGGGTTCTTTTAGAAATGCACTGTCACAGGTACTATTTTCACCGCCATGCTCTGAGAAGCTACAATGGTGCAGCGAAGACTGTTCAAAAAATGTGCCTTTCTTGGCAAAAACCAAGAGTTTGTCTAATTGTAAAGGTTCAATCAACGCTCCAATATGAAATATCTGTATTTTCAAACAAACCAAACTAAATGATATGATGCTTTTAATTTAAAATATTCATAGTATGCACATATAATTGCTACTGAATATGCAAAATTATGTTTCTGCAGAACGTGTATATAAACTTTGTCACATTTTTTTGTCATGCCATCAAAGCTTTAATTATTTAGAATTCCAGTCCTTTCAAAATTTTCATGTTGTTTTTATTCTTAATTTTCCAGTTGCGAAATGAATTGTGCAGAATACAAACCTTCAAACTACCATAGAGATGGCCAACATGATACCATTCCCAAAGCTGCCACAAGGAGAACGGTCCTTTGAAGCGATGATCAACTCCTTCATACTCCCACAATGGTTCCAACCACATCTGCGTTCTCAACCGTAGAACAATGAAATCAAAAACTCAAACTGTGAGAGTAGAAGAAATTGGATTCACGGTGAACTAATGTCTGAGAGAGACGCAGCCTAAGAAGAAGAATCAGAAGAAGATGATGGAGGGAGGTGATGAGGGTACCTGGCGTTGACAGGAGTCAGAAAAGGGTTTGGACTTGGGTGGTGGATGGAAGAGGGCGTAGTAAGGCATGGGTACAGCAGCAGCAGGTGGCTGTTGTTGTTGCTGCTGCTGCTGGTGCCGGTGCTGGTGAGGGTGGTGAGGGTGGGGAGAGGAGGGAATGGCAAAGGGGCACAAGTGAGGGAATGGAGGTTCCAGGTGCAACAGCCCTGGCATGCTCAACCGTGAGGCTGGGGCTGCGGGAGCATCACCAGCTGAAAACGCATCTTTCTCCTCACGCCACTCTTCTCCTCCTCCTATCCCTCCCCCTCCCAGCAGAATCACAAGTGGGTGGTGGTGGTGGTGATGGTGATGAAGAAGTAACAATGATGCTTCCTCTGCTTCTGCTTCTTCTTCTGCTGCTGTGGCAGATGCAGGGAGAGGGATTGAGGGCATGGATGTCCAATGGGGAGGAGCAGAAGCCTGGGATCGGCATGTGAGGCCTCCTACAGGGGAGACCATCATCATGTCCCTCTGCCGCCTTGTAACGACGTCTGCTGCGGCTGTTGTTACTTCTTCTTCTTCTTGCGGAGGTGGAGAAAGACAGGCAAGGTGGTCTTCTGCAGGCAGAGGCAGCGGAGACGAATCAGGAGGAGATGCTCTTTTTCTTTTTGTTTCTTTTCCTTTTCCATTATTGTAGTCGTCACCTTGATTGTCATCACCTTTGTGCTGATGGAGGTAGTGCTGCTGCTGCTGCTCTGCTGCTGCAATGGCGCTTCCCATCTTGGCGTTTGGCCACACAGTTGTGGTGAGTACTGGTGTTGGCCCATGTGACAATGGCCGGACATTCAAAGCATGAGTTGTTAATTTGCTCTTCATATTATGCACATAATCCAAATTTTTCATTTCCATGGGTTGTTGTAAGTCATTCATTGTATGGCTTGCTAAAAACTCATTTCTTTCAATCAATAGTTTTAGAACAAAAGGGCCTGTATAAATATTTTCTTGTACCTGAACGTTACGAAAACCCCATATGTATATTATACAATAAACAAACGCATAACTCAAGCTCACTAGAAACTGCATAACATTACCCATGATCTCTACTATCAATATATTTGTATCAAATTCAACACGTGAAATTCTACTATGATACACAAATTTAAAACTCGAATATCCAGAATAAATAAATAAAAAAAGAAAGAAGAAGAAGAAGAAGAAGATGATGATGATAACCTGATAAATTGGCAGATTTGCAGGCAGAAACCCAGACTTCAAGCCTCTTTGCAACTGCTTGAGTGTATAGAATTTACTTATTGTCCCATTATTTGTGTGATAGACCCAACCAGTCAATGGATTTGTGAACTCCGGGAATCCTTCATTGTCGGGGAGTACATTTGGATGACAAAGAGATTCTCCAACTCTGTTCGGATCCACATTTTGTGCTTTTGATTTGCAAGGAAAATCCTTTCCGCAGTGGATTGTTTTTGAGGCAGCTCTTGTAATTTGCTCTTTCTGTTGACATGGATTGCTGCAAAGAGTTGCTCTGGAGAAGCTGTTTCCGCCATCGTTGGATTTCTTCCCCGCCGGTAATGCCTTGTTGCATAGAGTAATCTCCCTACTGTTTTCCAAATCACTGCTTACATCAGTTGGTGTTTTCCATCTTATTTGACAATGAGACCTTTCAATGTAATTTTTCTCAGTTTGAAATCGAGAATCTTTATATTGATACCCATCAATAGGTGACTGTTTAACTTTGAATTCTTTGACTGTTTTCTTCATTGTAGCATCTTGGTTTTCATACGGATCTTCCGTTTGATACAAAGAATGACTCATTCTCTGTTTCTCCAACCTTCCATAATAATTTCTGCTTTTGTCGAGATTCTGTGCATGACAGGTTTCGCACTGTTCTTCACATGGAGATCTCTTTTGTTTTCTGCAGGTTATAAATTGTGCACATATTTTTAATAATAAGGATTGTAATACCTAACCAACACTTACTCATTTACATTGACGTGAATATACTACATTAGAACTAAGCACATACAAAGTAATAACATACTTGACTTATGAATTACTTTATCAAAAATCATTTAACAAAGTTACAACGTATGAACATGTGTTAATCTTCATAAAATATAATGGGCACAATCATTCAAAATACTTTTTCAATACTTTTCATGTGTATGTTTACTTGCTCTATTTATGATTTCTACCCTCACAGTACGCTGTTATTTAATCACTCAACATTTATTTTAAATGCATTTTCAATGAATCAGCTTCCACATGTATGTGTGTGTGTATATATATATATATATATATATTTCTATACATTTACATACTTGAAGAAGAATATACCTGTTTTTTTCTATTTCAAGATCAACATGTTTGTTAGTTGTTAAACAATTGTCATACTCATGTTCTAGAATACAGTTGCAATTGTTGTCATGTTCAGCCCAGTTTTCTTTTGCCTGATTCACATCACAATCCTCTCTGCAGCAATTGTATGCATCAACTTGTTCCACTTTAGTTTCCACAACAGTGTTATTTTCTATTTCACAGGTCATAATCTCATCCAAAAAATCTTGGCCTTCACTCCCTATGGGTGATTCTTGCATTTCTTTTGACCCATGATCTTCAATACTTTCAGCAAATACATGGCTTTCCTCCAAATCAAGTTGTTTGATTATAACTTGTTGTAGGTCTTGTTGGGAAATTCTGGGGAAGAATCCTTCATTCTCAAATTCTGTTAAGGCCTTGCATTGCCCATCGTTGTATATAAATCTATCTCCAAAATCATGACACCCATTTGGCAAAGATGTGTCCAACATTTCTTTGATGGTTTGTCCCTCCATGGCTTGTTGAAATCCATGGTTTTCCACTAGATTTAATGAAGATGAGTTGCTATGCTCATGGCATTCGTAAATAGGGTTTTGATTGTACATAATGACTAAACCTAACTCCTTATGATGGAGGCCGTCTTCCTCATGCTTATTGTCAAACTCATGGAAAGTGGGGATTTCAACTACACATTGTTTTTTAATGGGTTGGTTTGTTGGTCCTATAATTTCTTGTAAACTTGGGTTTTCTTCACAAAGGCCAAAAAAGATGATTTCTTCGAGGTTTGAGTTATCCACATCTTGAACTTCTTGATGAAGTTGCAGGCATGTAGAGTTTCTTACAAATGAAGTTGGAGATGTTCTTTCATAAGCCAAAATCTCATCTTCATCTTTTATTTTCTTGTATTCGGCCATATTTTGTTTTTCATCCACATTGATGGTGTTTCTATCATCTTTGATAATACTTTCATTTCTCCTTGATTCAAAATCATGCATAAGCTTGGAATTTCTGTTTCTACTTTGAAAGTGGTCAAGACCTTCATGTTCACAAATTGGAATAGTATGATCACCACCATGGGTTGTTTTGGCTCTTTCATTGCTTGTATTGGATCCAATATGAAGCATATGCTCTTCACTTCCTAAGGCTTCTTTTACTACAACCTGTACAGATATGTAAATAATTTCTTTTATTGCATATATATATATATATATACGTGTGTGTATATATGTATGTATGTATGTATAAATCAAAAAAATTATCAAAGTATAAAAGTGATATTTTAAATTATTTATATTATCAGTTCACATCAATACAGAAGACTTACCTTTTTGTCTTCATTTACAGATTTGTCTTTCAAAACAGTTGGATTTGTAATCTTATTGATTACTTTTTCTTTACATCCTTTGCCTTGATTGTTATCTATCTTTGATATATGGAGTTTATTGTCACCAATACATAACATGACACTTCCATCAGTTGATTTTTCTGTATCCTTACATTTTATATAATTGTTTTCTTCAGTATTAACATTTGGTGGCTGATCTACATCATTTTTAAAAGAATGGAAATTCTTAGACTCCCACTCCAATTCATGAAAATCAAGAAGAGATGAATTGTTAAGAGATGTTTGGTTGATATCTCTTGGAATCATCTCATCCTCTATTTCTAGCATTGATTTTAAGTCTTGATTTGTATTAAGGCATGAGAATTGATTAGCATCTTCAAGGCATTTCTCCCTTCTATCTTGAATACAAACATTTGAACACATGTTCAAAAATGAAGTATGTGATACTATTTGGTCTTCATGATTGTTCACGTTTAAATGTATGTCATGTCTTGGTCCTTCATATTTATTCTGATGTGAGGAACATGAATTTAATATGTATATATATATATATATATATATAGTTAAACGTATGTCTTGGAACATAAATATTACATTTATATCACAAAGAAGATTATACAGAATACGTATAGAATTACATAGATTATAATATATATTTTACCATTAATTTTTTAATAAATTAAGCTTCTCACATGTATATCATCATAGAATTCATCAAATGCATTGTTGTATTCATCATTCTTATTTTGAATATACTTAGTGCCAAAATCAATCATAACATCATCTGTAAATTTATGCAAATAAACATTATCCTGCCAAACACTTATAAGTCAACAGTTGATACACCTTCAAAGTTAACATACTTTGAAATACAGACTTAAAATAAAAAGAAAGTCATAGAAATTACCATCACAAAAAAATTATATAAAAACTTATCTGATACTGAAAGCAACACGTTGTAATTATTTAATTTTATTTTATTGAAATTATTTATCAAACTTTTTGAATGTAAATCAATATACAATATCTTACATTCTTAGTTAATAAATTGTTAAATATAAGAATTGCATGTTATGGATATAAAGAAAACACAAAGTTTTTTAGAATGATTATAGTAATAATAGTAGCAATAATAGTAATAATAATACAAACCTTAAAATGAACTTGTACTGCATTAGATTCTACCTTTTCAGGTAAATCCAAGCCTGTACACTGAAAAGAAGTTGTAGAATTTTGAGAACTACCTTCCCATGTATCAACCTCCAAGCATAAGAGCTTGACCTTGTGATTTTCCACATTATTTTCAGGTGAAATGCTCTCTTTGGTAATACTTGTGTCAAATTTATTCACACTAGCAAAATCCAATTTTGGGGCATTTGTTTCAAACCCATCATCATGTAGTTGAAGATTTTGAAGTCCACTATTATTATCTTCAATTTCTTCCAAATTTGAAGATGAATGGCATTCATCAATACTTTTACTATTACACATGGTCTTTTCTTGATTATATTCCAACTCAGTTTTGCAAGCTTCGGTGGATTCTTTTATGGTTGACAAGGATGTAACACCTAAAACAAAAAAATTTATCAATGGCAATGAATATATTTTAGATATCTAGTGGTAAATTACTATTGCAATTACTCCACAGTTTTTTATCAACATTATTTCTATTATCATTATTAATTCAGTGACATTCTAATAACCTCTGATGACGAATTATAACATAGGTAATGTTATTCCTAATGCTCTGAGTAATTTCTTTCATAAATTGAATGAAATCAAAAGTAGAGATGGATTCTGCTTGTTAGGCAATTTACAAGGACATTCAAATTTGAGGGAAAGAAATCTTATTTTGAATGCCTAAAAACTTTGCAAAGTTAAAGAAGATACAAACCTCTACAATTAACACTAGGCTTATTTAGAATCTTTCATACGTGTGAATTGGCAAGTTATGCTTTTCCACAAGAATCCTACACAGTGATTTGACTACCATGCACCGCCATGCATTCGTCTCTTGTCAAGAATAGACTCTTTTACATTTGAAAATGAAATCATGAAACAAATGTCAAATTAAGTTTGTGACAATCATTTGTGCAATGCCTTCCTTGAATGATAGAAAAAGAAAAAGAAAAGAACTTACTGATTAAACAGCATCAAAAAAATAGCTTAAATAGTACTTGCTCTAGATTTATTATGAAAGATTCAAGAAGAGGCTGTGGCCGAGTGGGAACTGGGAGAAACAGCAGGAATTGGCAAACAACAGAGCCCACCTCCGGAGGCCACAGTCTCTGCTTCGGTGTCGTCTTCCTTGGCTGGATCTTGTTCCGGTCTGTACAGCCCACAGAAAATCCAAACAAGCAAATATCAGGGTGAGGAGAAAATGAGGAGGGAATCAACATATATTGCGTTTGAAGAAAGAAACATAATGAAATCCGGCAAGAAAACGATCATTGTAGGGTGCTTGAGGTGTTCGAACTATGCATAAAGGACTAGCTAACTTGGATTTCAAAAAATGTTTGTACAAATGAGATTTATGTGGCAGGCTGGGGCACTCACATGGCAACATCAGATGTCGGCAGCTCAGAGACGTTCTTCTTCTCCTCCGGAACAAACTCTTTTGGTGTCCACCTCTGTGCTGCTTTCCTCCCACCTTCTCCTGCTGCCAACCCCTGGCGTCCACCAGCACGCCCAGCTCGACCCGAGGTTCGTGAGGATGCTCCACTCATTCTAGCTGATGCCTCTATTATGTGTGGCCATCTGCTCTGCTGTTGCACCCCTCTGCTACTGCAACTCCATGAATTCTGTACTGGCGCCTCAGTGTTCTTGCCTAACGTCCAATGCTGATCTACCTGATACGGTGTGCACTGCAGGGAAGCATGTGGGGGGCCAGCAGAATAGGCGGGTTGTCCACTCGACATTGGACAAGTTGCTGTTTCGGTTGGTGTTTCGTCGCTGGTTCCCCATCTACTGATTAAGTACTGCGCATGCTCAATTTGCCTTTGCTGCTCCATCTGATCCTGTTCCATATATATACGATATGTTACCTTGAGATTTACTGCAAAATTTGCAATCAGGATGTACCGACATGTCCTAGAAGCGTGGTAACAACCTGCTTGTTCGGCGTTTTCGACCAGGCGATATGTTAACGGCAATACCAACATCCAATAAATTTTTCGGGATAGAACACTATCGTACCAAATAAGTGCGGTCTGCATTTGGATATCCTGCTGTCTGAATAATATTGGCTCCAGTGACAGTGCCTGCGTGATACAGGTTTTGTTCCGAAGCCACATCTCCAGAAGCGTAGGTTGTTGGCCACGCATCCTGCTGGTATGCTGTTTGATACGCGACTGTCGCGTAAACAGCTGGCTGAGTGTATCCCTCACTACTAACAATAGGATTCGTGAGATGAGCTGATTGATCAGGATAAGCTGCTGTTGCACTGTAAGCTCCAGATCCATGGATTTCCGAATGCCATATATCTTGCTGGGTTCCTGGAGCATTTGTGTGATAGTATAATGTGGGTTGACATGCACTATTTGGGCAAGCATTACTCGCTACATAACTCTCTGGTGCGTAAACGTGCTGTACATAGCTTTCTGATCCACAATGCGCCTGGCTGCCTTGACCGTCGCTTTGCCATGTGTCCTGCGTCACAATATGAACATACAGTAGATTACAACTATCAGAGTTTTGACAAATACCGTATTCATATTCCTTACACCTTCCTAGTTGCATACTCTGCTCTACTTGATATTTGAACGTTCAATCACTAAACAAAATTCGAGTCCCGACTGCAACCCTAGTCAAAAATGCTCTGAACACATTGGAGTGCAACTATTGTACTGGAAATCGATGCCGCCGCGAGTATCTAGTAGCACACGCGAGCTTTCACTCGAGGCGTAAGAGAATTCATGAAAATAGTTAGAGTTGATCACCAGCAGCACAGGGCAATGGAGACCAGAGGAGGGTAATCGTTACCCAAGCATTTGAAGGAAGCGAGGCGGGCTGGATGGATGAAGAGTAAGAAGGCTGCTGCCACTCCCACGTTTGGTGCATTTTTGAGATGATTAATCACTCCGACGATTCAAGAATTTTCGAGACATGCAAAGACATGTGCCGGGAATTTCTCAGATCTCTACCTTCTTTCCACTAAAGACCATTCTGCCTCTACCAAAAGGTCGGAGCAATATAATTGAGCGATCATCCACCATAGAGCAGATGGGACTGCCAACTTAGTGCCAGAGAAGCGTCATCGATTTAGGTCACTCTGCTAGAGACGAGTCAAGAATGAGTTTGAAATTGTAAACAACTATGTTAAACGTTCGAATTAAGTGCATCAATACTTGCATTCCGCAAAACGAGACCTTCAAACTGTAGATTTTTGACTGCACACGGACAACTGCAGGTTGAGTGGAATCCGTGATAATTCATGTGGGGAGCTACCACGCTACTAAATCAGTCTTATTTTATTACCGTGCAGAGAACACGAAAATATACAGATCGTATACGGTATTTTAAGTAATCAAAAAGCACCTTATGAGCGAGAGGAAATTGCTCTGTAGACGAATAGATTCAAGCCAGACGAATGGGTTAATTTCGTCATAAACTACTCCAAATTTCATCTGCTGCATGGATTACAAAGTCACTCACTTCTAAGCTTGAGGTGTCATACAAAAGCATCCCGTTGTGAAGAAAATTCTGAGTGCTGGATGGAACAGTACTTTGTCCAAGTTACCTGAACACAATTGAGCCCCCTGTTATTGATCGTGGGTTGTAGGATGACACTTGAAGCAATGATAATCGAAAGCAGAAACCCTCTTGTACATGAAAGCGAATGGTTACAAGGAACAGCTTCATCTCAACACTATATCAGGTGAAGTTGACGTTTACAAGTAGTTCAAAGTACCATCCAGGACGTGAATCCTTCATTTGTGAGGATTGCACACGCAAGTTAGGGCTGCAACCGTCATTTATGGATAGGAAGCACGGCTTGGGAGAAATTCATTGGCCGCGCATCACCCCATGCATGGAGCATCTAACCTGTCGTTCTGATGTCAGTCGGTAGATAGGCATACCGCAAGGAAAACCTTTAAAATTGGTGGCGGCGGCTACATACTCCATGAGGATCATTTCGTACACGCTGACGATGATTTGATGGAAGCAGATACTGCGAATGTACTGAGAAGATAAACTGCGAAACGCTACAGTATCCTCCTCAACTTGAAAACATACGTGTAATTGAGTTCATGCCGCTACGACTCCACAATTTCATGGTCACTGTCGGGCCTCCAACAGCGAGTTCTTTCAAATCAATTCCGCAAAGTGCGACCCAAGTAAGACTAATGAGAACGACAACCTTGAAAATCCAAGTTAAGGCGAAGAGGAGCAACAATACTTAATACTAACGAGGAAAAATATAAAGACAGGACAAAAACAGCCACCCAGAACACAAGCAATATTCGCAGGAGTGAACCCTGAAATCACAGTACTGGGTTCAGAAGTTATGTGAAGTGCGCAGGTGGTGACATGGTCCGAGAAGAGATAAGGAAAAGAATGGAGCAAGGGCAAGGGAGAAGGAAGGAGTTGTGAGTCAGTCATGAAACGGCAAGAAGATCGTAGAAACAGAGATAGAGAGATCGTTGAGGGAAGAAAGGACGGTAAGAAGAAGGAAGGAAGGAAGGAAGGAAGGAAGGGATGGGATGGTGGAAAGAGTGGCAAGAAAGGCTCGTGCGTCAGGAGTAGCGGAGCAAGAAGTGGGGCAAGCCTGGTGGAAGTGGAGACTAACAACAAAAGTGCAGGACGAAGAAGAAGTCGAGAGAGAGAGTCCATGGTTGGGGCGAAGCCGTTTCATCGCAAACCTGCCCATCGTCAGAAAATGGGCAGGGCTGAGGCGAAGGGCAGGAGGACATTGTGATGATGCCATTGCGAGGTTGGGGAAAGGGTGTGTGTATGTGTGTGTGTGTGTGTGTGCTGGCGATGGAGTGGGTGGGCGTCTAACTGAATGCGCTGCCCTGCCCTGCCCTGCCCACCTTCCAACGACGTGTCGCTACAAATGCTTGTGTCCGCAACCTCCCCGTCTTCCTGCTCTTCTTAACGGCCCAGCATCCGATTAATTGATTGACTACCCTGTTGCTGCCGCCCCCGAGGTCATGATCGAAGTGAATTCTAAAGCATCGTCCATTCCCACCCTCGTTTACACCGCCTCCCCACCCCTCCTGCTAGCTTCCATCTCCACCAGCAAGCCCCCAGTGAATCTGTTTCGCAACTTTATAGCCCTTCTTGATGTTCCTAAATCCACTGCCTCATATAATTTTTACAGAATTTCGCCCTTCTCCTCTCCTTTCTCTACTCTCTCGCTGCTCCAATTCCTTCAGCGCTGCTTCCTAATCTCCTTCAACTCCTCCTCGCGATCTCGTCATGTTGCGACTCGATTCTCACACCTAAACCACGCCCTTGGAGTTGGTTTGTGTCCTCAAGAAGTCGGAGTTGGATTGTGTTCCCTGCTGTTTGCGGGTTCTTCGCCAAAGCTGCACTTCATACATGTGTCGCAATGACCTAATCGACACTGTCAGCGAGAGAGAGAGAGAGAGAGAGAGCTGTCCACTGACCTTCACCGTTAACCACGTATGGCATAGGGTTCGCACAAAGATGCTTCTCCGGGCTTCGATGTTCCAGTCGACGGTCAAGTTGGTGTGTCACAATCCAATTTCGTTGATGGCAAACTGCTCTTGCTAATTCGCGACCCATTCACGACAATCAACATCGACAGCGCGGGTACTGCTGTCTGAGATTATATGTTTCCTAATGGTCGAAACTCTGTTTGCTACAGCACAAAGTAATGAACTGAATATCCCCGTGTGCACTTCACATCACTGTTGCGAAGATAGATTTCTTCACAACTAAAGTTAAGAGTCACTACGCAAACTCTCTTTGCACCGGTTAATTGTCTTGCTTGCATCGCCGCGTCCCACCCAACTGTGAAATATCAAGTGATTGATTCTTTTGGCCAGCATGGGAAAGTGCAGGATAGTAAACACGGGAAGTGAGGGCGACGCATGTCGAAGTGACTCGCTCAAAGCCCCAACTGAAGCTTGAAATATATACACCTCATGCGCTAGATATGATCTTCCAGCTTTGAACAACACATGTGTCGGTATTAGGGCATTTGTACAACCGCACAAAGATTCGGTACGTCAATGAGCATCAATCACGATGGCTCGCGCACAAGGAGGCTTGGACAACGGGAGAGAACTCTTTCCATCTATCGAACTCACGTGGAATCACTTGCATGATGTGAGCAGCCTCTTCATGATCATTCGCGGATCCCTTATTAGCAGGGGCTATTACGGTAGTAGACATGAGCTAGAATTTGGGAGTTACACATAATATACTTGTCGCATTCTTTCACGAATCATTGTCCACCTTCAAGCCAAAGCTGCAATAACCTCTTTTAGGAACTAATTGGGCAAATTATCATGTCACAGGTGACAGAAGAAATGTCTTTTAATCTCAAAGAAGCGATGAAGATGCTCCTAGACATCGACTCCGACGTATTTGGTCAGGCAAGTCCCACACAATCCGACCACCAGTCTCATAATTAAAGTCTAATGTAGGTGACGACCAGTTCATCTGAAATAAGATTTTGAGCATATTCTCTATCCTTGGTCGTGTCCAGACGTAACCTTCCCTGTGATTCTCTTCGCATTGAGGTCAATAGGATGTGAGAACGAGAACCTCCACTGCTAATGCATCATTTCTAAAGCATTTGAATGTAGTTTCCCATCGTGTTTAGCGATCAGTCACTGCAGAATCAGGAAACCAGGAGGAAGATGTGCGGAAAGAAAGCAATTAGCCGAGTGGATCGTGCATTACGGCAGCTTGCGTCGCATCAAACTCACGTGAGTACCATGCGAGGTTTATGGCAGTGTGGGTGAATTGCTAGCCCGAACCTAATAAAACTAGCCCTGATACGAGACGTACATAAATGTGGGCCTTGGTTGGCTGTTCCATTCCTATCTCCATGTAAGAAAACTCATTCCACCCATGACCGGTTGTATGCGAGGTGCAAGATGGAGGAACTGAAGCGGCAGATGCACACGATGCGAGACAAGCTGGAAACCTCGCAGGGAGCTCAGGTAAACACAAACACAAACACACGCACTCAGTACAGCACCACACATCTTAGGAATAAAAATCTCCTCCGGCCGCGTGAACAAAACTGCCCTCTTGGAGAGATGACGAGTAGTTGTTGTTGTTGTTGCGACAACAACTGGCACCTCGAGCTACGACAGCAAGACGATGCAACCACTAGGTCCTACAACGGCGTTGTGAAACATGGATCCGAGGAAAAAGGTGGAGAGTAGATGGGGACGACGTTCAGGTGGGGATCTGACTGCGCTGCGGTGCATGCAGATGGAGGTGTTGCAACGCGAGCAGGCAGTTGCGAGCCAGATGCAGGTACACACAAATCTGGACCTGGTGGGTGACGAAGGTTGTAGTGTGTGTGTGTGTGGTGATGGGGTTCTAATGAGGTGAGAATCGGGTTCTGGTGGTGCTCCAGGAAGCCATGCGGCGGCTGGAGCAAGAGCAGGAGGCGGCGAAAGCCATGGCCCTCGAGCTTGACGCTGCAAAAGTGGAGGCGGACACGGCGAAACGCAGTGTGTCTGGCACCGCCTCTGTAAGACCCCCTTGCATCTGTTTTATGCTTAGTTGCAGCTTTCCGCTGTGTTTTGCTAGTTTAAGTGTGAAATTATTTTCTGTACTGAATGATGATGTGTTGGAAACACTTAAACAGCACCGGACGAAGAAACACAGAATTGGGACACAACTGAAAAACTACTGGAAATTTTCAAGTCCACGGGATAGTTTGTTACGTTTGTATTGTAGGCAGTGTTGGTTTCGGAGATTTATGTGTTGTGACTAAATCTCATGAATACATCTGAATCATATCTTTCATTCCTTCATTCCCATTGGTTAGGTATGAATGTATAGATATAGATATGTATGTATATATGTTTTTTTGAACTTTATGAGTTATCTTAAGATTGAGCATTGTTGGTGTTATTTGTGGTATTGTTATTTCAAATAGACAGTAGTTTAAAGGTGGTTATTTTGAGAATCTAACGAGGGTTTGGATGTGATACTGAAGAAACTACAATTGAAAGAAGTTGAGCATAAAAGGCTCCTGGAAGATATCACATGTCTCAAGCAAGTACAACCCAGTTTGATTATTTTATTTTGAAAAATAATAATCATCATGATGTAATAAGGTTGAATGGGAGTTTTCAAAAGTGCATATTAATATGTCAATAAACTTTGAAGAAAGTGCTTTTTTGGTACTCTCTCTCTATATATATATGATGGTGAGATTTGATGATCAGGATACAAAATGAAAAATTACAAAGAGCATTGGAAAGAAAAGTAAAAGTTGATACAAATGAAAAGACAAACTCGTGCCTCTCAGGTCAAGTTGAGCGATATAAAGAGGTAATTTATAACTATTCATGTAATATTCAACGTTTGTAATTTTTGAGTTTATCTTCAAAGTTTCAGTTATAACAATACATGCACTGTAAAAATTAACTTGATAAACAAAAATGTTTCATTTACAATGTAATGTGAATATCTTGCAATCATTTACAGGTGGTTGCTCGTCTTACAGCTGACAACATGGTATTTTTAATGAAGGTGTTTGAAAAGCTATTAAAATAAGTATGCAATCTTTAACATATGCTCAATTTATAAATCCTTATTTTAAAAGTTTGAAAAGAAAAAAATCCAAAAAGATAAAATAAAAAATAAAAACAAAAACCTTTTAGATCTTGTTAAGTCTTAAATATATTACTGAATTGAAAAAACTAATAAGCACTTTCAAGGTTAGTTAATTTTATTAGAAAAAAATCATATGTTTTATTTCATTCAATCATTATGTTAAAATTCAACATTTTATTGATTATTTTATTTTTCGAAATGCACGAACTATAATTATTTATCTAAGATATTGAATATGTCTTTGAGTTCTGTTAATGTGTAATGCATGTTATTTTAGTTACATGAATACAAGGATGCCCTTCTAACAGCAAACAAGAGACATCAACAATTGGAAAAAGAGGTAAGTACATCATCATAATTTTTTTAAAATTAACGATTAAACAAAAACATTAATAATTTTGTGAAAAAATCACACGTTCAGCTATTCAAAGAAAAGAAAGTAAGAAATAGAATAAAATAACATAAAAATGCACCAATTTTGCTAAACATGATTTATGATAATTTCAAAGCATTTGGGGACTTTCTGCAATTGTAAAACATTCAAGCAGAGAAAAATAAGTAATTAGATAAATAATCTAAAAAAGAGAGAAAAAAGAAATGAACAAGGAAAGAGCTGTTAAATAAGGAACATTAGCAGCTCATTGTGCAAGTTTTTAAGGCAGATGATGCTTCAAACACACAACAGCAATTAAAGTTCTCATAGTATTAATTCAGACCAAAATGCACTCTCATTTACACTAGCCACATCAAACAGATAGAAGACAAGAAAGGAAGATGGATAGCAAAAGCATCCGCCAAAATCGAAGACGTTGTGAAGAGCACTTTCTGCCAGGTGCAAATATAATCTACCACACAATACCTCAACAATGGATTCATGCCTAATTGTATTCATAACAGGTGGGGAATGTAGCTTCACACCATTATCCATCCATTCCTCCACTTGTTGCAGCACCAACTTTGCCATAACCGAGAAAAGCATACAGCAAAACGGAAACGAGAATGAACTACCCATTCTCCAAAAATAATAAGAAAACACACACAGACACACACACACACACACACACATATATATATATATATATATATATATATTGTGGCAGTCTCTTTAGGTTTCTAGCAACCTTCGAAGTGAATTCTCACTTCAATCCAAGCTAATGAACCCACAAACAAAAACATTGCAGCTTCCATTCGTTTGAAGGAAACACAGAAGCAAACAGCAACCCTAGCAAACTAGTCCTCCTTCTGCAACACATGGAATGAGATGAGAGGTGGGACACTGTACAGACAGACAGACAATGGATCGGAGATGGCTCTCACTGGACGAACCATGGACGTGGTGGTGGTGGTGGTGTGGAGATTGCAGGCAGAGGAGTGCGAGACCCAACTGGAACGACTCCGGCGAGACGAAGGCAAAGCAGTGAGTGAGTGGCAACTAAAACTGGAGCACGCCGAGAAGCGGCTGGCTCATGTCACAGCTGCACGCGACTGGCTGGAGGAGGCCGTGGTCCACACCCGAGAAAGGTCCAGTGCACGCGGCTATGCTGTGCATGCTTCTTCGTCGAATCCTTAACTGAATCACATACAGAGCATGTTGTTTGCCAACGTTGATATCGAAGTGTGAGTTTTCTGGAGTGTGCGTTTCGTGCAGGATTACTATGATGGAGGGTGAGAAGTTGAGCCTGCAAGGTGAACTGGATTCCGAACGACAACGGAGGTTGGGTCTCGAAGGCGATGCGCGAGCTTTGGCCCTCACGCTTCGCGAATCCACTCAACAGGTTCAGATTTGCACCCATTTCAACTGTTAATCCAGTTCATAATATATTGCTATTCATGTCTGATGAGGAAGTGCGCGGCCTCACTCGGGGAAGAGCCGCTGTGTGATTACCGCAGGTGAGCATTATGAAGGATCAGTATTCGGCAGCACTGAGAAACATCGAGGTAATGCTCGACGAATAGATAATACTTGACAAATCCGCAAAATGATGCAGCTGTGAAAAAGCATGTTTTGATAATACTCTCTTCAATCTTTCAACTTCCCATGATAGTTTAATGTCACTGAGAAGTAGGGGACATGAGAGAATCATTTTCTAAATCAATTCTCAATGCAAATCCAAACTTTCAAGTTCATTACAACCTTTATATGCTTGACTAGAGTAGTGCACCAATGAATGAAATCATTAACAATTTTTACGTTCGAAGTTCTACGGCGACGCCTGTTTTGGGTAGACGTTGGTCTGATGGTTTTATGGGTTTGAGGGTACTGATGTGGGACGTCTCTGAAGCAGACTAAGAGCAAGGATCTACAATTCAAAGAGCACGAGATGAAACAACTATTGGCAGCACTAGAAACTGCCAACCACCGCCTCGAAACACAGCAAAATGTTAATGCAGCCATTATGCGGAAAAAAGAAGAGGTTCGAGTTTCTCACCAGGAACTCTGAGAAAGAATAATCTCAAGCCAAGATTATAGAAAAGAACTAGTCGAGTTAACTTTTTCACTAACTCTTAGTTGGACACGCAGATTGAGTGGCAGCTTTTGGAGGCTGAGGCACAAAGAAATAAATCGTGATCGAAGCTTCTTAAAACGTGACGGTTACACATACATATGATATACATATGACAATAATTTACAAGCATAGACACACTTCCTGCAAGAAGTTGCTTCGAGTGCACCTCAAGTTCAAAAGCTTCTTGCAGTTCTGCAGTAACGATCTCAGGCACGCAACACATTTCCAACTGAACCTAGAAGGCAATTTCAAAATTTTATGAGCAATGCAAAGGTCAGGCAGCTTAAAAACTTTCGCCTCCGGGTCATACATACCTTTCTGACATGGGTACCACACGGAATAAGATACATGACGATCTTAACGCATGCACGGGTTAGGTATTTCAGTACTCACGGACTTGAATATCAACCTTGCAGTTCATCCACCAGTATAGATCCACCAGGCGCAATACCGATATCTGCCAATGTATCCATATCATTGTCCAGTGAAGTGGGCAAAGGAGAGTCCTGCACAATTTAATTCATTGTTAAATCATGCAGAAGAAGGTTTCTCAACATTCACCTCCGCCTGTACTCATCACTTCAAGTGTGGAATCTGAGAGTAACTGCCCTATTGTGATGCAAAATCTGCCCCGTCTAACACAGAAATTGTATTTCCCACTGAAAATTCCAACAAGGCATAATCAAACGGACTAGTTAGAGGAATTGAAGGAGAAATATTACCGGGTCATTATAAAATAGGTTCTGGCGACTGCTTTTGACCTTAAAAATTGATTCACAAACGATCTTCAACCTGCCCACCTGAAACAAACAACATCAAAGATCATCAAAACTGCTATGAAAAATGTTGCATGGTTCTCAATGTCGAATTTCTTTAGAACTTTTTTAATTCGTTTTTAGAAAATTGGATGGCAATAACACCATACAATTGAATAATAGCTGAAACCGCAGGGAAACATTAGATACCCTGATGACAGTCTCGCATTAGACAGCTGAAATCACCCACAATCACGGATACGTCTATGGATGGTACATTGTAATGAAGTGCTTGGACGCAATTAAGTACTCAATCTATTATTGTTAGTAATGTAACATCAGCAGCCTAATAAAGCGTAATTATCAAGGCCCACTAAAGCTGACAACAATTAACATCGTGCCCATAAATTCATGCACGAGAAATTAAAATCCTGACACAAACAGTTCCGTAAAAAACTTGCCGTAGTTGAGCTTGGAAGCTTTTTCACAACAGGAGCTTTTTCCCCAACTGAAGCAGCGACACAGACGATGTTCACAGCTGCTTGCACACAACACAAAACATCACATCACTTAAAACCTGCAGAACATGAAGACAAACATTGAATGTCTCCAAGTGTCAACCAAGATTCTCTTTGAAACTATTGATTAAATTTAAAAAAAACCACGTCACGTGCTAGTCATTCCAATATGCAAAAAGTTGGTATTGAAGTTGTATACATCAATAATTGAATTCAGGAAAATCAAATTAATTGAACAACGAGGTGACCATGCATATATAACACTCAGATTTCACCTTGTATGACCGCATTTAAAGAGGACTAGATGCACAAAGCGATATTGCTACACCCTCAGAAACAAACTCCATAAGTTGGGAATTACTGGACAAAAGAAGATATCCATGTGAAGTAAAACTTCTTTTGTAATCTTCTACGTTTCTACACAAAAGATGAAGAATTTAGACTTGATGAACCATTGCACAACTACTAAAGAAAATAATCAAGGATGACACGTCCAACTTAATGATAGTGTACTATAAGGGGATCATTCCTGATACAAAATTTGGGCAAGAGCACATACATAGCAGGGAACTGGACATCTTCTGTGTAGCTGAGATAGTTCCTCCTCTCTGCAGATCCAATGGGATGTCATGCAACACCCTCAGATGTTCGAACCTGCACATTAGCAAGATGATCCGTCACTTTCACTTTTGCTTCCTTGTAACTTTCAGAACTTTCTAACACACTCACCAGTCCTTCGCAAAAAAATTAGGAATTCATAAAATTATTAATCCGTCCAACATGGAAGAACGGTCTCATACCGGGGATGGGCTTTGGAAATATCACTGATGCTACTCATTTGCATGTTCATAAGCAGATGTCGAGCATATCTGTACCACAACACCAACATACAATCAAGAGAGAAAGCCTGTCATTGACGTGATAAGTTCATCTGAATAATTGACCCAATTTTAGATCTGTAGGATGGTCCTTAAACGTAGGATCAAGCAGAGTCTTGACACAAGGCACATTCAGAAAGACCAAAACTTGAATAATTTCTAGTAGTTACTGGAGGGAACGCTTCATTCCTATTATTCAACCTCCATGCTCCTAACTCTCTTCGTACTTGACAGACCACTTTGGTTGACAAAGCTTCAAACTCATCAGATGCTTGTTACTCAAAGGTTCCAAACTTACCACAAAATTGTTATTTCATAAACTTAGTCATGCTCAAGCTGGACTAAGAACCCCTAAACTGGAAAAAGTAGCACAAAATACAAAACACCCTATTTGAGGTGGATCGTATTGATATTCATCACAACATCACAGCATAAGGAATGACTAAACCAGCACTAAGACCGGTAGCTAGGTAGAACACATGCTCCAGACTCAAAAGTTTACCTTATTTCAGAATCTCGCCTTTCCCTTGGTTTCACCTGCAAAAGTGGCCACCTCAGGTGAAAATTTGAAGAGACACTTACAACTCAGTCTAAGAAAGTCGAAAGACATACACTGCGATACGCTCTAAAAAGCAGCCCTACAGGTGCTCTTCGACTGACGTCCACATAATTCTTAACTTCACATTTAACCACGTGGACTAGTGAGAAGTATGGACAAATTATAGTCGGTCACGTCCACACCTTCGAAAAATGCATACCTCACTACCATTCAAGCTGGATAGCTTCCCTATACGAGCCACAATCATGTAACGTGTCGCCATTCCATTCCCTGGGACGGTAATTGGGTTATCTGAAAGACGCACCTCCTGCACCAGCAAGCAAACATGCATCTAATCAATTAACTCATCTGAGACAAAATTGAGACGCCAGTTTTAGATAACACACATCCAAGACATCTGCAATAATACTTACCAATTTACCCCTAAAGATATGAAGAGACAATAAAGACGTAAACCACCATTCAATAAAAATAATGTTCCATAATATATAGCAGCTGCAGCAGTATTACCTCTAAATGTTTAAGGATTTTATACCTTTCTAGTTCATGCTTCACAGGGGAAATTTGATATCAAGCTTTAAAATGAACGAGTAGAAAATGATTTTTAGACCACACTCATACATACAAGGTTTCTAAAAAAGTATGTATACCTCCAAAAATTAAAGCTATATGATTGAGTTGTGGAAATAGTGGCAAGTAAATGGAAAATTATAATCACAGGAAATTTGCAACATCGCTCAGAACCTGCTACATGTAAGGATGATATTTAGAGGAACATTTTTAGTAGGTAAAAAGTTGGAACATTTTAATTTATGATCAATGGTTTCCTTTCATGAACCCCGAAGGCTTATTCAGATTCAAAAATGAATTTAACGATAATCTACAAATAAAAATACATTATTATGAGCATAACCCACTCAAGGGACGTTAGACAAGGAAACAAATTAAGAGACAAAGCTTTAAGAATGACAATCGATACGCAGGTCTGTATTCAAACTGGGTCGAATAATCCTATTAGGATTGAGCAAAAGAATATTTGGTTGATTACGAACAAGAAAGAATTAATTTGGACTCAAAAGAATAATAATTGATGCTCAGAAAAAATGTTCAATGGGATCATTCATGAGAACAAAAGAAATGGTTATTCTGATTGCAAGATTATATTTTAAATGTTAGAACGCCTTCCAAATGAGAACGGTGTATATCTCGATTCAGAACTAGAGAACTGAGAAGGGCCAAAGACATGCAAAATGCCACAATGGATACAGCAAACTTGGATGATATGCGAACAACAGACCTGAAGCGATGGAAACCGGTCAAGTGCATCTATTGAAGACCAGTCCGATAATTTATTTCGACCTGTACCTCGTACCACACCAAAAACACACTTGTAAGAAATTTCTTCTAGTTTCTTGTAAGTACATCCATGGTTCCCATAATCAATTACGACATACAAACATATTTCGGCACACTTCAACAATTACCATCAAACGGCATAAACACTACTGTTTGTTTCAAACTAACGTCGAAACTCACAGTGCCGTGAATACACATGTACCTAGAAGCAGACAGCGCAATGTAGGAAACGGAGTAACTGGGCACTCTCCCTTCGATGTTGCGGAGGCGTCGTCACCTTTACCAAATGGATCAGGATAAAATATCTGCAGCAGTTTGTTTCCATTCAAATTCAACTGCTCCAAGCTGCCAAATTCCATGAAGTTAAGGGGTCAAAGGTGAAAGCTCAATCACTAAATCGTCCCATTACCAAAATAAAAAAATAAAAAACAAAAAACAAAAGGAAACTATAAACGAAAATAGACGTATACATGAACTGAGAAAGAGATCGAGAGAAAGAGAGGATGTTAAAAAAAATATTAAGAATTTTAAAAAGGTTCATATTAAAATGTCATATCACCACAACCGCTACAGTAGTCTCTACCTTTTCAGTCGAGAAAGCTTTAAAATCTCATGCCAGCTCTCAAAGTTGTTGTCATCTAAGTTCAGTAACCGAAGTGAATCAAAGCCGCTCACATAAGGCTCATCTAGTGTTGAAGACTCTGAATCGGCCTGTCCAACGACATTTTAGATCATCAACCCGGAAGGAATCTAAAACAAGGAGTAGATCACAAGTGCTTGCGGACTAAGTGAGCCAATAATCTCATCTCAGGCAGAGAGTGGAGACCATTACCTCAATCGCCTGCATATCATTACGACAAAGAGAAAGCTCCTGAATACAGGAAAGAGATGCTTTCAACACATTCACCTGCACAAACAAAGGCATCCATCATTCATCACAAATCAAAGATAATCCATTGAGGAGAAAATCTATCATTTACTGGTATCATGTGATTGTTCTACGTACTAGAAAAGAGCTCAATTTCCTGAGGTAACTCTTACTCTACGGGTTGACCAGCATTCTAAAAACCTTAGAAGTTAAACCCAGCAGTCAACCGCCCCTGAGGGACACTGCACGATTAATGTGAACCCATTCCGGCTAATTGGTGGCGAGATACACTGCCAAGTACCGTCAAAGTCAAAAAGAAAATTCCGGTAGATTTCCTTCGTTGTATACACTGTCTAACTACATAAGCAACATCAACGTACAGTTTTAGCAGAACATCGACCTACCTGTGTCCATTGTAAAGCACAATTATTAAGAACAAGTGTTGTCAAATTTGATAGTGCGAGAAACGGGCTCGCGGAATCCAGAGCTAAGCGGCTACTGCTAAGGTCCAAAACTTGCAGAGCTGGTAACTCCTCACAGATGCGGGAAACTTCCTGCGCAGAGATTAATGGTGAATCTCACAATTTGTAGCCTCTTATTCCCAGGTATCAAAAACATCGAGAATGATGTTCCATTTTGGCAAGATGTAAACGAAACCAGATGCAATAGCTCTAGAACAGTATAAAGTTTACTGCTCGATACTCACATGCCAATCAGGTAAGAGGTTCCCGGTGAGATCAAGTTCTGTAATGCCTGCATGCCCATTGATGTATATTTCAGCAACACCTCCACGCTCGGCATGAACATTTCTCAGATAATTATACCATCGAAATAGTACAAATTAAAAAGCAAGAAGACGCCCACCAAGAACAGCAGAGGACCAGATAAAATCCTCCATGAGTATTCTACAACGATCCGTAAGCTTTCTAATTGACCTTCAAAACACAAATGCCAAAAAATCGAGAAAGAGAAGTAGTGAGAATGATTGGGCTCAAAATACGAGAGAGTGATGAGCAAAGTACTAGGACAGGCTGCTCTGACTTGCCCCAGAGGTCCAGCAGAGCATACTCCTGCGTAGGTTAGCGTCGCAACTTTGAGGTTTTCAAGATGCCTCTGCCGCTCCTCAACCTGCGCCTTTCCAACAAGCTCTACAGCGACGCGCAGCTGACGAACTGACATCACATACATGTCATCTGCGTGTCCAGGAGAACATTCACGTGAATTAGCTCCAAAAAGCATGCAATACACATTCTTAAACAGACTCGTACTGATCACCAAAGATTTATCTGCTATACGATTTTTTCCAAAGCCTGTACAAATTCTCGCTGATGCCATGTTCAGCTGTCGATGTCCCACCATTTGCCTCCATACGCCCAGCAGCCAAAGACAATGGACGCCAGCAAAGTTAAATACAAATCGTCTGGTGTAGGAGATTAATCATCTGCTTCCGTCTGCTAAACAGATAGTCATCCCTTTGAAGACACATGATTTCAACTAACTGGTGAAAGCTCCAACTTCAAGTCTCTTAAAACTTCTTATCAAAAAGTTGAGAAAGTCTACTGTTGCGAGAACGTCATGAGGTCTAGAGAGGATATCAACTCCCGAGAGCACCGCCAGCTGACACAGCTTCACCAGCATGCAAATTGGAAATTAGTGTACAAAAGCATGGGCGCACCTGATTCCGAATCGGAAGCTGCGACGGTCTTATATCGAAGAGTAATAGCATCAAGCAAGGAAACACCTACACTCAAGCTTCGTGGCCGCACAAAAGAGCCCGAAAGCGGGGATTTCGTCTCAAAGTAGCGGACTCCATTCACAGATCCATCATGGCGACCTTCATCGGTGTCCCATTCTACACCCACCCAAGCGCCTTCATGACCCTGCACTGTCCCTAAGTAGCGAACTGTGCCGATCTGAGGACTCTTTCCCGCATTAATCATGCACACTCGTTGGCCCAGACGGAAATCGGGATCATTCATGGCTATCACAGTAGCACAGCTACAGGTATTCAGGCAAACCGTTGCCGTGATGGAACTTGGTGAAATCACAGGCTGCAAACGAGAAGCTGAATACAGTAATTCGTAATGAAAGCTTGGCACATCTTGCGCAAAGCCTCAACGAGGCATGGCTATGGTGAGCTGGAGTGAGACATCGACCAAGACCTAACGACAGAACAAACGAACAGGAACAGAGAGAGAAGCAGTCCTCGGATCACTGGATGAGGAACAATGCAATGCAATGACAACACATGGACAGCCGACGAAGCTGGATAGATGAGCGCGAGGACGGTAGAAGGGCTCCACGTCCCCTTTGTCGCGACGAGGCTATGGAGGTCACGGGACTCATGTCGCGCTGCAAAAAGCACCATGGCTCTCTTCGAAACAAACCCTAAAATTTTAGGAAATAGAACTAGAAGTAGATAGATGACGATGAAGAGGAAATTTTGTTTTGTACATTTAACTTGATGATGTGTTTAGTTTGAAATCAAATATTTTACTACATTAGATTCTATTTTAAAATTTTAATTTAATTTAAATAAGAGTGTTATTTTAACTCCTTAGCATTTGTAAATAATAATTTTATTTTTATTAAACAATTGTTGCTTAAAAAGACTTTTGTTTTTTCTTTTCTTTTATTTCACACAAGACATCGTGTAAGATAAAGTTAAATGTTGTATCTTTAAATAATTGCTAGGGTTCTTATACTGTGTGTATAAAACAAATTTAAGTGCTTAAGAGATATTATACGAATTCATACACAAATAAAATGTTAAACATTCTACTTCTATAACTTTAAGGATTATTAGGTACATTGTAGAAATTTTGAGTTACATTGGATTGGATGGTTATGTATGTTCTAACTTCTACCATGTTTTTGGCCATCTATAGATTGTTCCATTTAAAATAAAATAAAAATTACAATTATAAAATTGATTTTTTATATTGCAACAAGCTTAACCACACTTTTTACAAAGTTAACCACACTTTTTACAAACTTAACCACACTTTTTGCAAACTTAACAACACTTTTTACAAATTTAACCACACTCAATTTAATTAGACCAAATCAATTTTCTTGTAAATATCACTTAATATTTATTCTTTAAATAAAAAGATACTATGTTAAATCTATAAAATTTTTAAATAGATTACATCTACAAAACTACCTCCAAACTACCTTCAATTTATGTAAATAAATAAATTCATGTGGATTCTTATCCATGTACGTAAATACAGTTTTTTTTTTTTTTTTTTTTTTTTTTGTGCCTATTTAATACTCCTAATCTTAGACCCAAAATCCTTTGTTGGATATATGTTATAAAATTTTGGAAATAGAAAAAGAAATTAAATAACTTCATTATGCACAACAACAAAGAAACTTTATACACATGAGGTGTTGGAATCAAACTAAAATAAAAGGTGGAGTTGTCTTGTTCTTCAAGGTTTTAAAATAATATTTTATCCTATTTGGCTTCATTTAGGTTATTCCAAAGTTTTAAAAAGTCAATCTCAATACCCCAAGAGAAAAATACAAGTTTAAATGCATTTTTTTATACCTTCTTGACATAAATAGTGCTATCTCTCATAGTTATCATTAGATCCATTTGAAAGATGGTTTATGGTTTAGAAAAAGACTTAAAGAAACATGTCAAAATTTGCTGAAACCAACCATTAAAAATTAAAAAATCAACTCATTTAGGCCTCTTATTATTGTTAGAATCAAGATGTAAACTAACATAGTTTATCATTCAAAAATTGATTCTGTTCAATTTATGACTTCTTCTCTCTTTACACTGTATCCAAAAACCGAGGCATCTAAAGAAGAACTTTTTTTTCACCAAGCATATTGAACATAGCCTGGTGGCTTGTGGAACATGACTTTTCATAATGAACCTCTAGATATAAAGACCCCTAAAATTATAATTTCAAAATCAAAGTTAATATTTCTAGTACTAGAAATTTAACTTAATAAATCTTGACCATATTACCAACGGATACTGACACAGTGCGAGTCAAGAGAACCCAACTCATACTCGCATTACATGTTGAAAATTTGTCAGCCAAGCTTTAAATTATTTCGGGAGTTGACCCAGTATTTCTTTGGCCCACATTTTCAGAAGAAATGTTTTACACAAGTTACTAGATTTATCAAACATTTGTCATTGGATTCGTAAGAGTAGCTCTATTGTACAAGAATGAACTAAGAATTATCAAGGATGTTTGGAAGGGATGCAAGTTCTCGAAGTGAAGCAAGGATTCAGTTTAGCTGATCAAAAGGTCAAGAAGAAAGTGCACACAACTACTTAACAACTGGTTCGAAGACATGTCGGGCGCAACGAAAACAGATAATAGTAGCTGAAATTCTAAATCTTCATTACGAGATTTTCTGATTATGGTACATGAAAGACTCTAAGGTAAATCAAAACAGCCTCACGTCTGACGAACTCTGGCTGTCACTGTAATAAATTTTCAATGCATGATACACTGACAGAACATGGCTCTGTGTGTCAATTTTCATGCAGAAAAAAGCACACGCATTGATCACCTGCTTTAGCAGACCTAAAACATTTGATAGATGAAACCACATTATCCATGCGAATTGTCAGACTTATGCATATCTCGTCCTGCAAAAACCAAGAGCTTATCACCGATTGTTTTTTAAAATTCTGTAGAACTCACTGAAGCCACTAGTGTATGTAGCAGAAAATATTTTCAGAGTTAAATCATTGGACTGTCATCAACATATCAAAAGGTCACAAGCCCATGCACAAGCCTCACAAAAGTAGATTTCAAATCCATAAACTTGAGTACACATGAAAACAAAGTGAAGACGAAGTACCCGAAGTCGAAGAGCGGATCTCTGCGTAGATACAAGATAAATGCGCTTTTAGATGTCCATGAATGTAATCCAGTGCAAAGTCCAGCATATAGGTCAGTGCATAGAGTTCTCTTTGAAAAAACTCTTGTCTCATAAGTAACCAATAATCAATTTCTCACGGATTTAGATAAGAATAGAAAAGATTAAAAAGATTGCTATCGCCATATTAAAAGGTCTCCCTTGGACAACAAAATGAAGTCGATCAAACTAACCTTCATAAAAAATATCAGAGACCTTCACTAGGCCCCTCCAATGCCGTTTTAGAAAGTGAAAGACCAAGTATTCTGCGCGTGGCTTCCGCCCTGAGCAGAGAAACAAGACCTCAAAATATATAGATTTTAGGTAGATATGCCATGTTCGTAAGACATGTTCTGAAAAGCTGAAAGTTGAACGAAATCTCTATCAAGTATGCGTCGTTATTAGCATTCATCTTGAGCGACTCTTGCTGTGTGAACAAGCCGTGCGTAACATACATGGACCGTGACAATTCAGGAAGCTTGCATCTTAGTTAATGTTTGATACGGATGTTTCATGAATGAGGAGTGTGTTCTAACCGGCAAGCCAGAGCAATGGAATCTCGATCCAAGAGGCCGATCACTCGCTGACTGCCATCCACAACGGGGACTTGCCTCAAACCACGCCCTGCCATGAGGCGTTGTGCAGCCCTTAAACTCATGTCTCTCGTTGCTGTTACCACTTGTTTCAACCTCTTGCCCTTCAATAATGAAGACACGGGCTTCCTCTCCACCTGTAAAAAAGGGGAAAAATAACCCATTAAAGGTAGGCATCGACCATCCGAAGTAATATTCGCAAAAGTTCAGAGTGGCTGCCATTAGCACGTTCGATTTGCACTGCCTAACTAATGGTTACAGCCTCAGCTCTATGAGAAAGAATGGGATAGAATTCTATGGGAAAGGCGCTAAGAGAAAGACATGAGCGAACAAAATCACTTCTAAAGCAAGAAAACTAAAACCTCTACCTGCATATTGACAGCGGTAGCATTTCCCGCAGCCTGCTGAATGTCAGCTAAAGTAAGCAGGCCTGCAAGGCGCTGATTAGAGTCCAGCAGAAGCACACACCACTCTTTCTCCAACACCATAACCGACATCGCTTCTCGCACTGTTGAGCCCAAGGACAGACTTGCGAAACTGGTCCTCATTGCCATGGATACGGGTAATTCATCTGCTAATTGTTCCTCACTGATCTCAAAATTTGTTAAACAAAGGGACTCGTCAATATTGCACACTTCTTTATCTTCAACAAACTCCTCAAAACTCCCATCATTAGTGTAAATGACTGTCCTCCTCTCAGTAGCCAGAGCCAACGGGTCCTGAACTTTCTCCGTAGTGGTTTGAAGGCCCCCATTTCCAGCGCCATTGCTTAACCGACCCTGTTGGCTGGCAACACTTAGATCCAGCGGAGAAGATCCCAGCTTGGATTGTGTGATAGGAGCAGACGATGATGATAGAAGAGTTGATTCGGACTTCGAGCGTTTACTCTTCTTAGTGGATGAGGATGCAATCCAGGATGATAGACCTACTGCGCCCATGAGAGGCAAAATAATACGGTAATCTCGCGTAAGCTCGAATAGAAGCAAGACGGAGGTGAGTGGGACTTGGCATACTCCAGCTAACATGGCTGCCATGCCTACCTGCACGTTTCAATGCCTCATGTAAGTGCCCACATTGAATATCACGCACATAGATTGTGATGTACCAGTATTAAAATAAATTTTCGCACTACCCACAGCATAACAATATTCTTCAAAACCAGGACAAGTTCGAGAAAAAATGTGTGCCAGCGAACAGCCGCACAAATCCCAAAGATTGTAGAATGAAAAGCAAACAGGTAAACTAAGATGCTGCCAAAAACAGTGTAAATAATTGTCACCTACCAATGCATAGGCTTGGGGAGCAGCAACCTTAATCCATTCCAAATGGAGGGCAGGATCGACGTGTGAGAAAAGAGTTCTAGCAATGTTTCCATACGCTGACCCAAGTGCAGCTCCAATAAACAGCGAGGGTGCATACATACCGCCCACTAATCCAGAGCCACGACACAGAGAAGTTGCAATTACTTTAACACCAACTAATTGCAGCAGCAACTCTACCGACGGGCCTCGAGCCCACGGACGTGACTCTAGCAGGACGTCCACATTCTCAAAGCCCCAATACAGTATTTCCGGATATGCAAGAGCAATAACACCCACTGCAAGGCCTCCTACTGGTGGAAGGAAGCCTGCAGGAATTCCAGTCGTCTTTTTCACATTTTCAAAGAAGGTTGTTGCATAAGCACTGCCCTTGACAAGGGTCACTGACACACCGCCACTGAGAATTCCAAGAAGCAAATACAACGGAAGCTCTGTTTCACCATAAAAGCAGATTGATTGTAAGAAACTCGGTTCAATAATTTGCTGGGAGCAGATTGTCTCTACTCCGATACAAGAATGTATCTACGAATTGCTAACGACCAGATGCCCTTGAGCAGAATAGAGGTTTTCACTCTTAGCTTTTCAAGGATAATAATTCAACCATTGTACTGTACAAAGTCTTTCGAACTTACGCTGACTAGTGATCAATACCGTACAATTTCATTATGTATCAATATCTGCATTTCTAATTGAAGTTTGAGCTGCATTCACAAATGAAGTAAAGACTAAGCGTACCAGCAGGGGATCGAAAATCATATGCAGGGATCTTGAATGCAGGATCAGACCCTAATCCAGCCTGCGAAATCACACTTGCCACTACTGAGCTAAGCAACAGCATTGCTGTGGTGAGCGACGGTGCGGAGTCTGAAGATAAAGGCCGCAACACTGATTCAACCGCGAAAAAGCAGCCAGCTACAGCCGCATTGAATCCTGACATTCCCAGCCATAGCTATAAATACTTGCAAGGGCGTACAAGGGCAGGAAGACGTATTTTCAATTACAATGCAAAACCGAAATAAATTGATGGACAATCCAGTTCTTTAGTGACATGATCTGCAACAATCCATGAACATCTCTTGGAGAAAGAAGCATCAGAGTAAACCTGAAGAGATTCCAGCTGCAGAGCCGGCAGCAACCAGAGCGGTCTTGCGTTCCCGACTATTACTCAGCACTGCACTCACACCATTGGCTATGGACGCCCCAATTTCAACACTGGGACCTTCCGGACCAAGGGAGCACCCAGTACCTAAAGTAACTGCAGCACTAACTGCTTTCAGAAAAGCTCTGAAAACACCGCGAAAATCAGCCAACCGGGACGACTTGGATCTGGACTTGGACTTTTCATTTTCGTCGTCATCCAAGGTTTGGCGCATTGTGTTGAGAATTCCAACCAAAACACCCCCTCCAAAAGGGACCGCGAGAAGTCGAAGCCAGGTTTCTTTTAGTGGACGTGTTCGTAACCAAGCGGCTCCGCTAACGGGAATGCCTTCCCAGACTTCATCGTGGATACCGTGTACCTATCCCCAACAATGGCCATATCAATTTCAAAAAAACACAATTCGTTTTTCTTCCTAAAAAGATCACTGACACTTACGAAGCCTGACACATACAATTGTGCAAACGATGTGAGTAATGATGATTGGCTCATCTGAGCACATCAGAAACTATGAGTTTCTAATTACTTGAGACCCAAATTCTGTGAGCAAAGTCACAGAACCTAGAATCCTTAAATTCTAAACCAGACTGTAGAGTGGAGTCATATGGACAGGCGAATTGGACGTTTCCAGACAAAAATACGAAGCTCGGAGCCTTCAACTCTACTTGTCGAGCTTATAAACTTCGTCATCTGTAAAACATAGATTGTAACAAACTACTTGACAAAGGAACTGCACGCTTTGAAGTGGCACCAAATATAAGAAAGGAGACAAATGGTACACAAAGCATGGACATACCGCAAGATTGAAGAGCACGACACTTCCACCAGTAAGCACGCCCACAAGGCACGCCAATAACACGATCACTCCCTCCGGTGGAAGAGACTCCTGCACAGCCAATGCTGTGCTAGCGGCATATGTTCCCACCAGGTTGCGAGCTGTCAAACCAGGGCTAGAATCCTCCTCCTCCGTCTCTCCGCCTTTCTCTTCATCCTCATACCCGGGTAAACCATCTGAGTTGCCCCTCTGTGCTCTTCGCCCACTAGAGGAGGAATACGTTCCAAACGGCGAGACCAAATGAGAATACCTAGTGTGTCCTCCATAAACCAGCTTCAATTGTGGTTTTGGTTTCACAACAATGGCATGAGAAGGCCCTCGATCTCCAACTCTACTAAGCTGGTGACAAATTTTCCAGCTAAACCTCCGTTCAAGAGCACATACAGCGCACTGGCGTTGCGGGTGTACGCATCTTACATTGTTCACACGAGATCCTAATTGGGGAGCTAGACTCATACGACCACCGCCAGACCCAACCAGACTGGAGACTGGAGGCATTGAAATTTGCTAGAGACCCCACATCACTCTCACCCTCTCCTTCGTTTTCTCGGACATCCATACACAAGCCACTAACAGAAATCCTCGAACAACAAATTGGACATCCGTAGCTGCTATTCAAAAGGACGCATGTTGTTGGAGGTGTGTCCACAAATTCAAACTACAATCGGTCGATATTTGATGAAAGTTGTGTTGGGCTTCCTCAGCAAGCTCCAGGAGTCACCCCTGATGCCATGGACCACCAACAACTAATCAACACCCCGCAACTATGCGCTGTGACCATTGCCACCTTCATTCCACCCCAAGGCTACAAAGCATCACAATTTTGCAGTATGTTTTTCCTCCTTAACAATTTGAAAGTTAGTTTTACCATGTATGACCAATGCCGGAAATACTACATGTCGTACACACTACAGTCTCCGAAGCATTGCATTTGAATCAGAACAAGAGCTAAATACCATCGATCGCATAGAAGACTGTGAAAAATCCCCAGGCGGAGAGAGTTGCTGGAGACTTCGAAGAATTGATTAAACCGTTTTCAGATCATAATTCCCTCGAAATTCAAACAACACTCCGAAAATTGCTCAGTGGGTCTAATCCTCCTGTGCAAGTGCACCTTTGCAGCGCCAGAGCCGATCAACCGCAACCACGGACCCACAAAAAAGAAAGTATCACCCACCTAATTCTGACGGAAGCGCATTCCCGAAAGACACTAAAAGACTGCGAAAGTACCAGAAATCTCTGCCTCCAGCAATTCAAACGAAGTATTCCTGAAGAATTACCACATGGGCAGTACAACTTCGGCAACCAACCGATGTACTTGAATCCAGTTTTGAATTATGTGGTGTTCCCAGGAGAGTGCAGCAGCAGGCAGGAAACAAGTACAGATGGGCGGGGTGGCGATGAGATGGCTGTGGCAGGAGTTGGATGGAGACCATTGCAACACACCAGCAGCCCAAAGTAGCAAATCCACGCGATGTATGCCAGTTATGAACGGAGCTAAGACACGATAAGGTACATCGTATGGATACACGGCATACGAAAGCTTTCGCAGCGATACTTCATCGTCTTCATTGACGTTGTCTTTTCTAATTTTGGTTCTCATTCCTCCGCTTTGTTTTTTCCATTTAGTTTGGTCTCTCAAGCTCCTGTGTGGATGAACTTAGCTGACGAGGTAGATATGCAGCACATGAAAGGAACAATATGTGAATTCTTCTACGAAAGAAGGACTGATCTCTTCATTCAGGGTCTAGAATCTACGTTTTAAGGGAGTGACATGCATCGGAGAGTCGGAAACAGAAGAAGAAGGACGTCATCGGCAGCATCGGACCCACAACCTCCTGGCATGCACTCGTCATCAGCGCTGTACACTAAGATCTGCGATAAATTGCGGCGTCACCAAGCTGCAGTGCTGATCCTACCCACCCAATTTCTCTGTGAGCGCGCTTTTATCTGATTTTCGACTCTCCAGCTTTCAGATACTCGAGGTATGCATGTCGAATTATTTTTGTGTTTGGTGTTGGTAATAATGGGCTTCGGCTGATTTGAGTGTTTGAAGAGTTAGTTTCAAGGCTGTGTTGTGTGCGAGTTGAGACGGGTCTGCTGGATTTGTAAGAAGACCTGTGGATCTAAGGTCTAGGCACCTGTCGTGTGACCGCGGTATTTTTGTGTGGGTGCGGTGAGTTTTTAAATTTATTCGTTTTGGGTCTGTGTTTGCGATGAGTTGCAGTTCATCGTCAAGTTAAATGTCAGAGATTTAAGGCTTATTTGGGGCTTATTGTTAATTTGGCAAGTTTTGCACACAATTCCGTTCTTTTTGAAGCAGTTTCAACATTGTGCGACTGCTTAGGGATAGATATGTTCACCGATTGGTCACTAGCCTTGTGTTTCAATTTTTGCTTAATCTTGGACGATGAAGTTCGTGAGAAGCCCATCGTACACTGACAGAAATGAAGTTCATCAGGAGTTCCGAGCAGTCAATCGATGGCACTAGGCTGCTGGGGCCATTTTTTCGGAAGTTTCAACCTCATCTACTTTTCTCGAACCCTGGATGGCAGAACGAAATTTTAGTGTTTCTTCCTTCTGTTGTTTTTTTCTCTGCTTCTTCTTGATTGGCTATTGGTTTTGCAGGAATCCCAGTGCCCGTGTCGTGTTTTAGTGACTCAGGTAACGAACCTCACGAGCGGTTTCTTTGAGGAAAAATTAAGGTAGACATGGACATGGCTCCCATACCTGAAGATGCAGAGATGGCTGCGAGGACGGTGACATTGCCGCACGAGACACTTCAAACTTGTCGCCATGGACGAAATATTTTGATAGCTATTGATCATGGCCCGGACAGCCGACGCGCCTTCGAGTGGGCTCTTTTTAATCTGGTGCGTATGGCCGACACGATTCATCTCGTGCATGTCCTGCCAGCCAACTGTAAGTCTTCACAACCCTATTCCAGCCTTTAGTCTGGTGCTCCAAAATTCATTTGTTGCATGCTGATTTTCTACCTTCGTCTCTTACACCAATTCAAGCTCCTGTAAAATTACTTCACTAGGCAGCCTATTCACGTTTGACGTGTTAGGTGTGCAACCATCAAAGCACTGGTCGCAAAATCTTGTCTAATTGGCACTATTCACTCGCAGAAATAGAGCATAATGTAGTTGTTCAGGATTCCTTATCCATGTTGAGAAACGAGATACTCTTGCAATTTTAAATGGAATTTTTCGATCAATATGCATGATGCTGGACGATTCTGACGATGTATCCTGTGTAGCAGTGAACCAGGACGACGCCTCTGTTATCATGCAAGCTACAGAAGTATTGTTTGACAAGCTCCAAAAGGAAGCATATGAGGTTGCGATGGTGGGTTTGTCTCTTCCTCCTTTCTGTGGCCACATATTCCGTCTAAATCACTGAAGTTTTGATGAAGGCCTGAATTGGGCATTCGTGACATTCTTTCACGACGTAATTATCAATATTTATATCCTGGTTGTTGGTTTTGCCAAGAGCTTACTCTTTCAGTTATAGCGAGTCTGGAGTGTGTCTGTATTGAGGATGTATTCCTTTCACCTTTCTAACGCAGTATTCTGAATTTAACCTTGATATATTAATAAGATAAATGTGTGGTTAGACCTATGGATAGTCACGTATTACGTGCGAGAATAGAAAATAAATACAAAATCGCTTCATGATTAGTAATGTTCACTTTTTGACTTTTCTCTTATGAATCAGCGAGGATTGGAGGATGATGATTTATTTTTTATTTTTTTTGTGTTTCGTTTGAAGCCTACAGAATGTGTTTTCTTGAGCCATTTGACTCCTCATTTGGTGTGACACTGATCTCAAAGATATGGCGACATTGTTCAGGTGAAAACGGAGAGGCATATCATTGAAGGTGATCCTGGCAAAGTCCTCAGCCACGAGAGCGCTCGGCTTGAACCCGCAGCTGTAGTTATGGGCTGCCGTGGTCGTAGTCTTGTGAAAAGGTAGCAGTCGGTCTAATTCCTCATCCAAGCTTCGTATGTGCCGCACTTGCTGGCTACTATGTTTGCAAGTCGATGATATTACGGCTTTTGATACGTATGGTGGTTTGTAGGTTGAACAGTTGTTAATGTATTGTGGTTGGTTCAAACGAGGTCAAATGCTTCGAACATGTAATGAAAGGGAGTTCTGGAGGGGGTTTTAAGAAGAATGGTTGCACAAGATGATAGTTTCTGTTAGTTGGTGCTTTCTGTACATGTATTTCACAACTTGGTTAACCCCATCGTGTTCCCCGTTTTGTTTGACCAAGTTGAATTTGTGGTTGATATTGGTGCAGTATGCTTCTTGGAAGTGTGAGTGAGTATTGCACACGTCATTGCCTTTGCCCAGTAATAATCGTTCCTCACAAAGGTACGAGACGATATGCATAAACTTGTGAACAATTTCTGTAACCAGTTGACTAACGAGCAGAATTCTCTATTCTAAAGTTGTCGCTCCACGACAGAGTATTTCAGGTATTTAACCTACAGGTTGGTTGTAAAGACATCAAACAAACAAACTATGCATCGTATTAAATTCTTGTGAAAATTTGACTCTGACTTGTACTCGCCCATCGAGTTTGGATGCTTTTGTGCGAGACAATGTACAGAAGAGATCTTGAGGAGATAGCAATGCAGAGTAGCTCACTATATTGCTCCTGATCATTTTCTCCTGCAGTGTTGAACATAGGCGGCGATGGGATTTAAGAAAATTGAAATGCTCAGTCTCATGCCATGCTGGTGACATTGCAGATGACCGTGTTCAAGAACTTGAGGCTTAGTGGAACCGAAGTTCCTGATCTCAGAAACGATGTTTGTCACTTCGGTGAGAAGGTTGAAGATCCCCAAGCTCGACTTTAGATTCTTCATTGAAACTTTACATGCACAGATCAGTGATGTAGAGTAGCAGATTCAGCAAGACTTGTACCATATTGTGCTGTTTGTCGTGGACAAGCAATAATTTGGACCTACTCCGTACTGTGCTAATTTCTCCTGTATATGCACATAATACAGTCTTATTCTTAGAAGAGTAGTAGATTGTCTTCACGGCCTTTGGAAGTGTAAACACAGTCGATTGTGTTCACTAGTCAGTAGATTTACCCATCTTTAATAACAACTGCATCACCAAGTGACGACATTATACTGTTAAAGCATCAGTCAGCCTATGCAGGAGCAAAAGCCATAGCAAGACTTTCTCAAACAACAAATTCATCACAATGAAAAATGTACGGGATACATTCTACTTTTTTACTTAATATTATACATGAACAAATGAACTAAAATCATTATGCAAATGAAATTCAACTCTTTTATTTATAAATTAAAAATAAAAATAAGCATAAAATAACACTTCACAGTTAAAAGAATAAGAACAAAATAACAAGACACAACTGAAAATTGATTGATGCATGTAAAACTATATTAACTTTAATTTAAACAGCATTTTTTTTTAATAAAAATCAACTACAATGAATGCTCTGTCAATTCAAATTTAATTCTATCTCTTTAGTAGACACAGTAAATAATTGGTTCTAAACCTCAAGAATTCAAAAACAGATAAGAAAATAAGCTGTCATTAATTTGTGCAGCTCTAGTTTGCACTTTTTTGAAGGTGAATATTCTTGAGATTTTAGATTTTTTTCTAAATTTATTTTCATGGAAATGCATGTATGGTGAAACTCCTTGAGATACAAAAACTCATGCACTCTAATCGTTTGAAACTACGCATTTGTTACAACATTGTTCTTGTCATGAACTCAATAAAGCCATAAGCAGTGTAAAATCAAAATTGATTTTTCATTGATATCACAATAAAATAACAAAGTTCACACTGAAATTAAAATTCTAAATGTTTGTCCTTATTATGATTCAAAAGATACATGACATGGAGAAGATTGTTGTTGAATTAAACCAAACAATGAATAAAATATTCATAATTGTTGTTATAGATTTAATTTCCAAGGCTTACATTTATTTATTTATTTGTTTATTTTGAATGGATTATGCCACATCCCCAATTAATATTGCTACACCCCATGAGACCTCCTTGTATACAACTAGTTAAAAATATGCTTCTTTCTTTTGCACATTTTTTTCTTTGTTTGTTTTAAGAAAGGATGGTGGTTCAAAGGAAGACAATGAATACTTTATGAAAAAATAGGCTGTGAGTTGTTTTTTAGAAAATTATTTAGCTGCCAAATCTACAAAAAACCTTTTTTTTATTTATTCTATTTTTGAGTTAATGTGGGGCTGCCAAATACGTCCTAAGAATAGAAGTGTGCTTTCTAGTCAATTTAAGTTGTGTGGAGATCACGTGGGGTGTAGCAATATCAATTGAAAATGTAGTGTTAACCATGATATATATATATATGATTTATATATATATATATATATATATATATATATATTTGAAAAAAAAAAACTTTTATGTTATTATTACCATAAATTATCATATAAATTACCTGTATTAATAATAAAGATATATAAGTTTTAGGTGTATATAATAAACAAATGATTTATATTACAAAACATGGATGTATCAATCAATATAACATGTGAATTAAACATATAGATCCCAAAATCACACATATCGTCACACACTATAGAATTCCAAAATCTTGATACAAGCACCAAACAACAATATTAAGTTTCAAAAATATGTTAAATTAATAATTACAAAAAGAAAATTTTAATGGTCACAAGATGTTTTTTTTCTTTTTAAAATTACTTGCTACGAAAATGAAGGATTTCATTTCATGACCAATTTCTAATGCCATGTTGATTTTTGTCTAAAACACATTTGAATTGAAGGTTTACAACAGTATATGCATTAATTTACCTCTCCTACCAAATTCTTTGAGATTTCACCAAAAAAAAGGCGTGAAATCTGTGATGATCACAGTTGAAGTAAAAACAAACAAACAAACAAGATTGTGAAACATGAGTCTGAATATTTTTGGCATCGCATAGATTTCACAAGTTTTCAATAAAATGTTCAACCAATTTCGTGATCTTCAGTATTGGGCTTTCTATATTCTTTGAGAATATTGTTGACTTGTCGTGTTGGAGATTGGTATGAATATAAATTGGAATGAAAAGAGGTCTTTGAACTGAGTCAAAGAATCTCTCAGACTGATTATTAATCTCAATCTTCCATGCAATTATTATTTGTCATAAAAATCATTATTTGATTACAACAATTGTAAGTTTGTGTGCATATATATATATATATATATATATTGTTTGGTTTGTTTTGTTAATTCCAAACATAAGCATCATGAGGATTCTACTGTAATATTCAATAGACTATACAATTTTGAAAATCTCATCTAATTACTATAAAAGTTCAGAAAAACTAACAAAAATATTGAAATCTTTTTTTTGATGCCATCATCAAAGTTTGGAGAATTGTGTATCAAACCAGATCATTCGGATGTAACCTTAGAGAACTGTGCTTTGCAACAAAAAATCAATCAGAATATTTAACTGTACTTGTATCTCTTTTTTCTTTAAATTTAGATAAACATATATTCATTAGGACTTTTCATGTGTGTTGATTGTTGTTTGATGTTTTTAAAATCTCATTAAACTGTTATTAGATTGACTCTATCACTTTGCAACATGAAACTATATTGCATACAAATGAATACCTCTTACTTTAATAAACTTAATAAATTCATAACACAAAAAACTAGTACTAATTTGTATTGTAACATTTCATATATATATATATATATATATTTATATACAAGCATCATCTTATGTATGTATGTGTAGTGGAACATAAAATCTTACACTTGCTATTATTTTATTTTGTATCCTAAATAGCCATTCATGTATAAATTGTATGTATATCTATCTCTCTCTCTCTCTCTCTCTCTCTCTCTCTCTATATATATATATATATATATATACATATAAATATCACTTAAAGTTGCATAAAGAATGCATAACACAAAACATTCACATGGAAAACAAAAACAAACAAACACATTACATATAAAATGTCAGACCACAATACACACAAGTATAAGAATAATTTACCATGTGACTGTTCCAAAGAACTTTTAAAGACTTTTTTAAATGAATAAATAAAATTTAATTTAATTTAATTTAAAAAATCAACATGATAAGATTACCAATAAATTGAACCAACACCAGAATTGCATCAAAAACTCATGACACACATGATTTTGGTGAAAACTTTTACAAAACGATTGCTGATAAACACACCAACTCTTTTCCCAAACAGATATCAGAAAATCAGGAGACTCCTGTATAAACACAGAAAGTCCATGACTTCCATACATATATACATACATAAATACATACATGTATACACACACACACACACACACACACACAAAGGTGTTGGAAAAAACAACAACCATTGATGGGTACAATGAAAGAAACAATACATGTAACAATAAAATAAAAAGGCAAAGAATGGATCTCCTTTTTGGCAGTGCCCATGCAAATCACAAGCCAATAAAGTAGCAACAGCTTTCTGCACTATGCTTACACACATACCCACCCACCTACCACGCATTTGATATATACCCTGGGACGAACAGGGTATCAATCCAAACTGATATGTATTTGCACGCACACATAATAACATCCACTCTCCCTCTTCCACTAGATTTGAGATCTTTCTTTTTGTTGTAGAAACGAGAGCCAATGGAGCCCCAAGTTGGCTTCTACTTGTGGGATTCTGCAACTGCCCAGGTGGCTGATTTCATTAGTTAGAGAAGGGGGACAGTAGCCATTGTATCAGCCCCCAACTGAAGTAAGCTCAGCTCTGCTCAGCTGGCCCCAGCTTTCAAAGGGTTTAGGGTTTAGGGTGGACGTGGTGGAGGCAGTGACAACTCCAGAGCTCCCAAATCCCTAATTTTTCCCCCATTCCCCCATGTCGAAACCCTAAACCAGGTGTAAGGGAGCCAGTACCCATACCCATGAATGCATATGTCTCTTTTTTTGCAATGGAGCTTTAACTCTCTCTCTCTCTCTCCTCTTCTCTACCCACCTCACAAAATTTGGCTCGGGGCTGGCCACCCATTGCGTGATGTGCTTCTACTCCTCTTTGGTGGATGAAGAGGGGGTTTGTCTTTTAGGGTTTTTTTTTTTAATTGCTCCTTTGCACCATCATCCCCAGAGGAGGTGTGGGTTGTTCTCCCTTTTTCTTACCTTGGACTGCACACAATACACTAAGCTGCATTGGAATTCAATCTCATGCTACTTCTTTGTGCTCCTTGTCATTTTAGGGTTGGTTGCTTAGGACAAGCAATGAATATACCAAAATCCAGGGTAGCCAAGAGTGAAATTTCCAAATAGAGCACAGGAATATGCGTACACATGTGTATGTATTTTGGGAGAAGGAGCTTTTTGGGATGTCCATCTCTTGGCTAAATCTGTGTGTTTTCTGAGGTACTATTAGTACTTTTGTATGTACATGTGTGCATAGTTCTGAAGTACATCTGCATATGAAGGGGGCAGCATGGCCTCTATTTGTTAAATTAAAAACAACATTCTGGGTGGACATTCAAAAATTAGGTTGTTTGTGAAACAGAGGCTGTGCTCCCCATCACAAATACGACTATCCAATATGAAGACAAGATGAGATGGGTGAGTGTTGAGATGGGAATTGGGACAGAGATACAATGTGAACAAGTGTTTGGTGAACCCGTGGGGCAGATTGCTTGGTTGATTAGGGTGGGGCATGTTGGTAACTGTATTTCAATACAACTTTCGACCTGAAGTTCACAATAAAGTTTAAATTTTTTCAAAGGGGAAAGATTAGTATGGAATGTGGCACAACTCCCCACAAAAGAACATCAATTTGGTTTTTTCTTGCATGGGGTTGTTTTCCTTAGAGCTCCATGGTTGATGGGGTTTTTTTTGGGGGGGGGGGGATCACAAGGGAACAACCCATAGGGCCCCCTTTCTTCCTCTTTTCCACTATGGGGTTCTCTTTTTTGCTGTTATCTGGAAGCATATGAAACACAAGGTATGGATGAATGTGGTCAAATGAGAGGAAGATGTGTGTGGATATCCATCCATCCACCAATCCCATGAGTTTTTGGGGAAATGAATGGTTTAAGTGGGTTGTTTCTAATATGGTCCCCATTTGCATCAGTTCACTTCACTTCACTTTACCCCCCCCCCCCTTCCCTTAAAAGAAAATGGAACAAAAACTCCTGAACTCTCATTTCCACATGTGCCAAGTTACAAACCCTAAACTGAAATAACAATACAAAATATGGTATTCGGAGCCATTTCGAAGTACTGTTAAGGAAGATGGGAGTCAAACAGTCTCCCCCCCCCCCACACAGTAATTAATTCATTAAGAATATCCATCCCACATTGTATGCTCATGATTCCACAATAGAATAGAAAATCCTCGTCATGGGAAATGGTCCAAGGAATTTTGCTTTGTAGGACCTTATCATCAAAACCAGTACAGCAAGGTACACAACTTTGGGTGGAATAAAGGACATGTAGGGCGGTTTATGCCATAGCAGGAGCAGCACCCTCAGCACAGATTGTGTCAGGTCAGCGAAGCAGAACAATAACATTATTAGTAACGCAGCAAAGTAACAATAATAATAAAACTAAACTAAACAAACCAACGAAAGTATAAAGCTTAACAAAAAATCCAAAGAGTTGTCAGAGTGAGACACTGAGACAGTGATGGGGAACCAACTTAGTCCTTTCACTAAGCAACTAACACACAAAAAACTTAACACTTGGACATGAAATTAAACTCCCTTAACAGCAGCAACAACAACAACAACCAATACAGGATGTGAGATTATTTGAGTGGAATAATGGGTGCCAAGTGGAAAAGAAAGGAGGTGAAGAAGAAGCAACCAACGATGGGGCCCCTAGAAAGGTGGAAGGGTTAACAACCCAGAAAGAACTTCACCCAGCCCACCCCAGTGGAGGCGAATCTGAAGGATTGAATTTCTGGAAGGTGCAAGGAAGGTGGGGTAGTGGGACCCATCACAGTGACAGAAGATTGCGGAGGAACGGGGGGCGTGATAGTGCACAGGAAATCTTGGGATTTCGTTTTCCAGGCCCACTCTCTCCCCCAGTCCCGTCTCGGCCCGTCCAAATTTAACGCTCTCGCAGCCTGGCTCGTCCATCCTGCCACCCCGCCCGTTGATTCCGTCCCGCACCCTGCGCGCGCGCTCTCTCTCTCTCTCCCCCCTCCGCCTGGCACGTACCCGTGCCCAGCCCGGCCCGTCCCGACCTCGACCCCCGCCGATGCTTGCGATGCGATGCGGCAATGCGGCGGTGGGGAGACGGGGGGTGGTGGTGGTGGGAGTCGCAAAGGCTTAACTGTGGCCCCCAAGTGTTGCGGAATCACGAACTAGCGGAGAAGCGGAGGAGAAGGGGAGCTTCTCTCTTCCTTTTGCTGGCATCGCATTCGGTGAGTTGGGGTATTAAAGTAACGGTCCCTAGCGTGGCCTACACAAGGTCCCTCTTTTAGCTGTGTAATTGAGATGAGAGGACTGCGAGCAGCAGAGTAGTTCGTTCTCACACTCTCTCTCATTAGCCCCCCCCCCCCCCCCCCCCCCGGGCTGTTTCCATGTGTTGAGACTTTGAGTTCTCGGGTTAATCGTGCTTTGCATTGCTCGCCGGCTTCTGCAGTTTGTGTTTGTGTTTTTTTGAAGTTCCCCCTTTAGGTAGGATGAGTGGGGTGAACGGTGAGAAAGTGCCCTACGGGGGTTCGAAGTTTGGCGACAAGGATAGCAACATGGAGGCGCTGCAGGCGCTCAACAATGAGACTGTGGACCTGGTATGTGCCTAGCTTTTCTTTTTGGGCGATGCAGGGTGGGGATGCTTTGTTGCGAGCGATTGTGTGGCTGTAGTCTCGGGGAGATTGATGCGTTGGCGTTTTGAGTGAGCTGCGATTCGGTGGGCGGTGACGAGGATAAATATTGTGTTGTGTGTTTGCCCTTTTTCAAGGGCTGGCGAGTGTTGTGAGAGCTGGCGAGGCCTTCGTTGTACTGGGCTGAATTGTCGTGCGAAAATGTCTCGGTGCATGGAATGACGTTTAGTGGAATCAGAGCAGCCGTTCACCTCACTTCGTTGTTGTAAGCCTGGAGAGCATCATTTTTTATGTCAATGTAGGATGTTTCCCTCGGAATGTCCTGTTCTTTCCTTGGGAGGCCTTCATTACGTCGTGACTTTCAGTAAGCTGCAGAGCGTTGGGTGAAAAGTTTGGTGTTAGAGAGTGGAGTAATTGAAATTCACATACCAACATGGTATGAATCGGATTCAGATGGTGATTCTTGCCTGTTCGGACATTCGCCTTCCGTGAAGCTACGTTAGCTTTTGCTTGCTTAAAGTTTTGTGAAGATGACCAGGGTACACCGGGTTGACTGACAGTCCATGCCCGGCTTCCCCGTTTCTGTTGATCATCGTGACTTAACCTCTAACGACTGAGAAATGGTTTTTCTACTTTATTTTCTGGGAAACATGTATGTTGCTGGTGTAGAAGCTTAATTTCATTGAGTCTGGACTGGACTCTCAAGCATGTCCTTGTCACAACTTTTATATCGATTCTCTTGTCCAACTGTAGAAACTTGTTCGGAACGAGGGAAGCCCACAATTAAACCTCGATTGCGTATTGATTGCACCCAACTTGTTACATGAGAATTTTATGCATCTCTTCATGACCTCTACGAAGCATTTAATACGTCTAGCTTACTGTGCTTCGGTCCATATGCCGATTCTCTGCTAAGTTGCAGTGGGCCGTTTCTGTACTTTCACATGTACTACATGTATTACTTTCTGATCACTGGACCGATTAGCGTGAATGGTTGACATGGATTCTTTTCGACCTTCAGGACTAAATTGTGGTTGGTGTTGATGCACGCAGGAGCATATTCCGGTGGAAGAAGTTTTCGAGCAATTGAGGTGTACCAAGCAAGGACTGACCGACGCTGAGGGAGAGCAGCGTATCAAGATATGTGGACCCAACAAGCTCGAAGAGAAATCGGTGTGTTTCTCGTCAACTTATTCCTTTCTAACATAACTTGATGTCTGTGTATTACAGTGTCGTTTCTAGTCTACGTTGTAGGGCTCTTCGACTTTTGTAGATTTCAATAACCATTTCTTAATCTATCGCTAGATACCCGTGTACGCTCCTTAACAATCTCGTGTTTGGTCATACAGGAGAGCAAAATTCTCAAGTTCTTGGGGTTCATGTGGAACCCACTATCATGGGTCATGGAAGCTGCTGCGATCATGGCCATTGCCCTATCAAACGGAGGGGTAATACCAAATATAAAATTTTGACTTCAATGGCACAAAGCCTCTTTGTATTATAGATATTGTTCTGTGTTTGCTTGAAGGAGGTGCCTGTCTGTCCGTAATTTTACGACTTCTGACTAGTGGCGGCGTTTTCCAGGGACGACCGCCGGATTGGCAAAACTTCTTGGGAATCATTGTGTTGTTGATCATCAATTCAACCATCAGTTTCATTGAAGAAAACAATGCTGGTCAAGCAGCTGCTTCTCTTATGGCAAGACTCGCTCCTAAAACAAAGGTTGGTCTGATGGCACTGAACCCCCCCCCCCCCCTCTCTTTTTTTTTTTTGTCAAGAACGCAGCTCGGGGCTCAGAATGGAATTTGGATTTCGGGACCTATGTCACGCTAACTACAGCAGACTCGTAGCACATGGAACATTTTGTAATTTCTCGCAGTTCATGGTTTTCTCACGTGGAGACGTTGGATACTCGTCCTGTAGGTGTTGCGTGATGGCGTATGGGCTGAACGTGATGCTGAGATTCTCGTTCCTGGTGATATTATCAGCATTAAGCTCGGTGACATCGTCCCTGCCGATGCCCGTCTACTCGAAGGTGATCCGTTGAAGATAGATCAGGTATGGAGTCGCACGAATTTTCAGCTGGAATGGTCCACTGTGGTCTCTGGGAACGATATAGGACCTGTTGTACGGTGCGGCGTCTTCATTGACCTGCTGGGTCGGTAGCATTGTGTGCAGTTGTTATATAGACGACAGTTGAAGTCAGGCTAGTGAAACATCTGTGTGAAGATTCCAATTGACTTGATTTCTCTTTTTGCAGTCTGCTCTGACTGGAGAGTCACTTCCTGCCACCAAGAAGTCAGGAGACGAAGTATTTTCAGGATCTACCTGCAAACAAGGAGAGATTGAGGCTGTTGTTATTGCTACCGGTGTGCACACCTTCTTTGGCAAGGCTGCGCACTTGGTGGACTCTACCAATAACGTGGGTCATTTCCAGAAGGTGTTGACAGCCATCGGGAATTTCTGTATCGTTTCCATCGCCATTGGAATCGTTATTGAGATCATCGTCATGTGGCCTATCCAGAGGCGTTCCTACAGGGATGGCATTGACAACCTCTTGGTGTTGCTCATTGGAGGCATTCCTATTGCGATGCCTACCGTGCTTTCCGTGACAATGGCTATCGGTTCTCACCGTCTTTCGCAACAGGTATGAGTAGCAATATCTTGGCCTTTCATCAGCGGCTGGAAGCTGTGTCCACATTGTATTCAGTATCTTTTTAGTTAGGGTGTTCGAAGGGCGTAACTTTGGGCGGTGCAATGGTGTTCTAATATTTTTAATTGCTCATTTTTGTTATGAATCGTGTAGGGTGCCATTACGAAACGTATGACCGCTATCGAGGAGATGGCCGGCATGGATGTGCTTTGCAGTGACAAGACAGGAACTCTTACCCTGAACAAATTAACTGTAGACAAAAATCTGATAGAGATTTTTGCAAAAGGTGTGGATAAGGACATGGTCTGTTTAATGTCCGCCCGAGCTTCTAGAGTCGAGAATCAAGATGCCATTGATGCATGCATAGTTGGAGTGTTGGCTGATCCTAAAGAGGTACTCATATCGTCTCTCATTGGGATCGATGTGGTTTTTGTGAGCCCTTTCAAGTCGCAAAATCTTCTGAAAGATGGATAGTACATGACCAGTGCTTTGTTTTTGTGATTATTGCAGGCACGTGCTGGCATTCAAGAAATTCATTTCCTTCCTTTTAACCCCGTGGACAAGCGCACTGCTATCACTTACATTGACAATAGTGATGGTAAGTGGTACCGGTCCAGTAAGGGAGCTCCTGAGCAGATTCTGGAATTGGCATACAACAAGGCAGAGATTGGCGCTCGGGTGCACTCAGTTATTGACAAGTTCGCCGAGCGTGGACTACGTTCTTTGGCTGTGGCCAGGCAGGCAAGTGCGCTGCAGCCGCTTGTTGTAGTGACCGTTACTCAGATATCTCCGGGATAGTGGATTGTTGGGTGAAAATGCATCAATGCGTTGCTATGCCTCACATACTCTCTTTCGTTCCCGTTTTGCTAGTGCAAATTATAGCTGTGACTGACACTTCTTATCTTTCCTACAATGTGGATTATTATTGGAGAACTACTATGGCGAGCTATTTTCATGACCCAGCGTTGATGTAATTTAATAGTCCTTTTTCGTAAATACAGGAAGTTCCTGAATGCAACAAGGAAAGTTCTGGCGGACCTTGGGAGTTTCTTGGTTTGTTGCCTCTCTTCGACCCACCCCGACATGACAGTGCTGAGACCATCCGTAGGGCTCTCAATTTGGGGGTCAGTGTCAAGATGATTACAGGTACATTATTGTTCAGAAAAAAGGATTTTCAGCATGTGCATCTGCAGCGCATTTAGCGTTCTTGTGTACATTTTTTGAGAAAGATGAGCTCATAGGTTCATTACAGTGAATAAGTGTGTTGCATTTCATTGCAGGTGATCAGTTGGCCATTGGAAAGGAGACGGGCCGACGGCTAGGCATGGGAACAAACATGTACCCTTCGTCCTCCCTGCTAGGTGCACACAAAGATGAAGCGATTGCTGCTTTACCTGTGGACGAATTAATTGAGAAGGCAGACGGATTTGCAGGGGTATTCCCAGAGCACAAGTATGAAATTGTCAAGAGGTTGCAGGACAAGAAGCACATCGTTGGTATGACTGGAGATGGTGTGAACGACGCTCCCGCTTTGAAGAAGGCAGATATCGGTATTGCTGTTGCAGATGCCACGGATGCTGCTCGGAGTGCCTCTGATATTGTGCTGACAGAACCAGGGCTTAGCGTCATTATTAGTGCCGTGTTGACCAGTCGAGCTATTTTCCAGCGTATGAAGAACTACACGGTGTGCATTGTGAAACTAAATTTTCATGCTCTCTCGATGCTCTCTGCAAACGTTTGTTGTAGTGTTTGTTAGGTGCATCGTTAAGGAATGCCATTTGTAGCAGTACTAAACTCACGAAGAACATCGTCATTTTACTCTCTAATGTTTGCGTTCTTACTTCTTGCAACGGCATTTAACGATGTCTTTTACTGTGATGGTCAATGTACAGATTTACGCCGTGTCTATTACTATCCGTATAGTGGTAAGTATCATCCACTCGTTTGGTAATACTAAATGTTTGTTTGTTTTTTGGTAGTGGTGTGCTTGATAATGTGGGTGTCAACGATGACTTTTGCGTTTGACTTAAGTGGAAGAAACATGACAATTTGATATGTTCTTGCAGCTTGGATTCTTGCTGTTGGCTTTGATCTGGAAGTTCGACTTCTCGCCGTTCATGGTTCTTATTATTGCCATTCTCAATGACGGTATGTGTGCCCTCTTGTTTATCTAGTGTGAAGTTATTTCAGGTTTAGAATCACTGTTGGCTCCTCGCAAGTATCTTGCACGTATATGCTGTGTGTTTGCAAAAAAAAAATTTAAGTCTCGTATGTATCTGCTTCTTGGTCGCAAATTTAAATAGTGGAATGATTATGAATCGCTTTTCTGTGAGGCAGGTACTATTATGACCATTGCGAAGGACCGTGTGAAGCCATCTCCCCTGCCAGATAGCTGGAGGCTGAGGGAGATTTTTGCTACCGGAGTTGTGCTCGGTACCTACATGGCGTTGATGACGGTTCTGTTCTTCTGGCTCATTCACGAAACCAGATTTTTCCCGGTTCGTGCTTTCTTCTTCTTCTTCTTCTTCTTCTTCTTCTTCTTCGCTCTCCCTTCTGTTATGTTCATGCCGAGTGACAAGCGGGAGTTATGTTCGTATTTACGTACGAAGTTCCCATTTTCTTTTATGCTAAAATCCGATGAATGTAAACTTTGTACAGGATCGCTTCGGAGTGAGAGATATAAGTTACAGCAACAGTCAGATGACAGCAGCCATTTACCTGCAAGTCAGTATTATCAGTCAGGCTCTGATCTTCGTAACTCGTTCCCGGAGCTGGTCATTCGTTGAGAGGCCAGGAGCGCTGCTGATGTTTGCCTTTTTGGCTGCTCAGTTGGTAAGATTTTTTTTTTTGTCAGTTTTACTGCACCAATATGTCAAGCTTGCAAAGGAATAGTACAGTCACATTTTCCTTCCAGTAATTCCCTTGCGTGAGAAGTGTCTTTTACGTTACCGAATCTTTCACTTCAGAAGTTAAAGCTGATACCGAGATCTTGTTCTTCCCACAGATTGCAACGTTCATTGCCGTATATGCGAACTGGGGATTCGCCCGCATTAGAGGTTGTGGTTGGGGCTGGGCCGGAGTTATCTGGTTGTACAGCATTGTCACTTACCTTCCTCTGGATATTTTGAAGTTCGCTGTTAGATACATTCAAAGTGGAAAGGCCTGGGACAATTTGATTAATCGCAAGGTACGACCTTTTCCTTCGTGCTCATGAAGCGGTAGTGTCTATTCCACCTTTGCTCTGACCAGTGGACTTTATAATAATTCATCAACGAAGTACGTGATGGCTTACCTTATTGGTGGGTTGCACAGACTGCTTTCACAACCCAGAAGGACTTCGGAAAGGAGGCACGTGAAGCTCAGTGGGCCCTTGCCCAGCGAACATTGCATGGACTCCACCCTCCCGAATCCAAGGATGATGAGGCCACCACCTCTGGCGGGAACAAGGAGCTTGGATTCATGGCAGAGCAGGCGAAGAGGAGAGCCGAAATTGCAAGGTATCAGTGACTCGCTTCATAACTTTCTTATCCTCTTCATTAGATTTTTATAATCCAATCGTCAAATAAGACGAGAATCCTTGGAGGTGATTGCATCTGGTCATATACACTATGGATCTGGCTTAGCATTTCGTACTTCATAAATGGTGAGTAACACTGAGAACTCTTTTTGCAGGCTAAGGGAGTTGAATACTTTGAAGGGACACGTAGAATCGGTGGTTCGTCTGAAGAATCTAGACGTGGAGATGATCCAACAGTCGTATACAGTGTAGGGGACATGATAGACCGTACTGACAGTGTCTTACTCTAGCAGACAACTTTGCTGGCAATTCTTTCAGAAACAGTTACGATTGTTGCAAGAAACTCTACGGTTTGAAGGCACAACGGATGATAATAACCGTGTCTTATTGAGTAGGATTATATCAAGTGACTGTAGTGTGACTAGGTGGAATGTGAGGAGCATAGCCAGACAAAGACGTACTCAGATAGTGTCTTGAACATTCGGTAGTACCTCGATTTTGAGACCACTCTCACGTAGCACGTGCTGTTGAGGAATAGTCGGTAGTCCTCGAGTTGTTTTGTTGGGGCTTTGCAACAGGTAATGCACGCAGTCGCTCCATCGACGGCCCCCACTTCCAACCTGTTGTTGCACAAATAGACTGCAATGAGAATGGATTCATATGTTGCTGCAATTGGAATTATTATTTTTATTCTTTTAAATATTTTGTTCTCTGTCGGTTGTGGCTAGTTGTGCTGTGTCGAGTTGGTTGTAGCCTGCTGCATAGCGTTATCCTGTGCTCCATCCTCTTTGAACGCATCAAGATAGGCAATTCTGTGAACAGTTGTGCATTCTGTTCTTTCATATCAATTGTTTTCGAATGCAAATACTAAATACTTTGATAAATTAACAAGTGTGCAAACGTAAACATGATGTTCTGTTACATCCATACATGATACTCTAATACTCACAAGTCATATGAAAAGTAATACGTAGAAATGGGTGATGAACTGGTAACGCGAACACTGTGATGAAGAATGTGATGAGCAATGCTTTCTGAGCATATGGGATTACCGTTGCTAGAAATATTCAGCATCACATATAAATATTTCTTATTCTGTTGAAATTTTCATTAACATCCACTTGAGACTCTAGACTAATGACAATAAAGTAGAGATTTATAACTGCATAAAGTATATGCACATGTACAATTTTATAGACAAAGTTGTATGTATGTGTGTATATATGTAAAAAGGTAAACATGATGTCCACTTTGTTCTTTTATTATATCTCTTTCCTATCTATCTTTATCATCTAAAAAGAAAACGTCTCTAAAAATTAAAAAAAACAAACAAATAAAACAAAACAATTTTATCTCATCACTCCATCACCTTAACTAGTATAACCAAATTTTCTACTTGAGGTCACATTTGCAACATTTGATGATTGTCATCATTAAATATTATTTTAAAATTATTCAAATTTTAGAAAAATATGTTTTAATCTTTTAGGATTTGATGTTAATCTTCTTATAGATGTCAATAGTACAACTACATGTGGACACTTCCACTATATTTCTTGTGTTTGTAACCAACACAAGAAATACCTTACAAACTTTTAGCAAGTATCAAAACTGCCTCCAATTAGGGCATTATAATTGGCAACTATATAAAATCTTCTAATGAGCTCTTTGGTGGTCATGCAAATGGAACATACACTGTGCAACATAATTTGCACTTCTACTTTTGAATTAACAAACTTATGTTTGTTGCAACAACTATTCTAATCACTTTTTCTTTATATTCTAATAGTTGTATAGATTTACTTAGCTTCGTCATTATTTCTTTATATATAATATGTATAGCCTACAACAATGTTCTCAATGCAGAAATAAAGCTTTTATGTCCACTTCCACATTAAAGATACAATCAACTATATATATATATATATATTAAATTTTTTACAAAAAATAAATTGTAATATTAAAGAAATTTTAATATTTTATATGATACAATATTCAACACATTTCATATGCAAAATAGAATTTATAAATGAATAAATAAAAGTTCATATTGAATACTCAACTGGATATAATTATTTAATCATAATTGGGATATTTTAACTAAATTAAATTAAAATCACCTAAGATACACTGTAATCTTAAATGTTCAAGTGATAGCTCTTAGTCATTACGAAATATTTGTGAATGTTTTGAGTGGATTAGGTTTTCTGATCATTTGACAAGTATTATGACATCAAATCCATTCTACCCAATATCTTGATTACAACGCCTATATATACAAATTGGACTTGAACTGACTGTACCGAAGATGTGAGAGATAATAAGCGCAAGGCTACGCATGAGCTCTTACTAATATCTCAAAGTTTTTAGAAATGTTCTGATATACTCGCATTAATCTTACTGCTGGCCACGAAAATTTCCTATTCTGCTAAAGTGCGAACCAGAAATCTAGATACCAGGCAATTGATTGCAGAAGCATCTGTGTGTTACGTTGAACAAGTCCTCACATTCCGTGCAATAATGTCACTTAAGATCAAGACGAATCTGATACTGCATTATTGTGTGAATGTGAACACCAGAAATTAAAATTGATCTCTTCTTCCCTCAATTTGATTAGTTGCACATAAAAATTCGCTTAATGTTACCTGATGAGAGAAAGCTTGTCTAGATCGATAAAAGCTATCTACAAAATTAAGAGCTTTCCAGATGGATCTAAGAAATGCACATTGTTGGAGGTTCTTAACTAATTAAGCACTTCTTTGGAGCAAAACATGACTTTCGATGGGATTGTCAAACTAACCTACCCTACTCTGAATCAAGGCTTCTTACAAATAATGATACGTGACACGAGATCTTGTACTACTGAGAACTAAAAATTAGGAGGCAATTGCCTTGAGCAATAAAAGTAGGCATATCAATAGGCTACGCCACAAGCCTCCTTCAAACAGTGTACACCTTTACCACCTGCTGAATGGCAGTCCGGCACACAGGACAGCCCCAACCTTTTTCTTTAATCTCGGACAGACAATCCATGCACCCGGCCAAATGGCCGCACGGAATGCAAACAGCCTGTGCTGGAGCATCCCAGCAAACCACACATTGACCAGCTTTCTCGTCTGTCGTCTTGCCAACGGGCGGAGCAGACGGAGACGGCTGAGCATCAGCCAAGTAATCAACCTCAACTGGTGATGCATCGATTTGAGGGTAAGAAATTGAAGCAACTTGGTCGAGTACTTGTGGTGGAGTTGGAGATGGAGCTGAAGGTACCGCAGGCAAAGAGGTAGAAGAAGAATCATATGTTTCAGTTGGGTGATATTCTGGAATCGACGTTATCAAAGGTTCAGGCATTCTCTCACGCTCAGGCTCCGGAACTTCTTCTGAGGGACGTGGCGCGCTGCTGGGTCCAGCATCTGTAGACGAACCCCAACCATTGAAATCTGAGCTCGACGCAATGTCATCGTTACCCCAACCCCCAAGATTGCTGCTTTCTGCTGCAGCAGTGCGTAGAGACGCATCGATGCCCATTCGCAATGCTTCATCACTAGTTCTCTCAGAGGGATGCTTGAGCTTCCCAGAATTAGGACTTTGAGTTGTAACATGTGGTTGTGACTGGTGTTGCTGGGCTGCTGGTCGAATCATTGCAGCCATCCCTTGCAAAACAGCTTGCGGTGGAATACCAGGAGTCTGCAACCAAGATTTATCACAGGAAAATCGTTCAAAACATGCTTTGATTATGAGCCAGAAGAAAAGCCTGAAACCAATTTTACCGCCGGACTTAAAAAGCAGTCCATATATTATTTTGAAAAACCTAAGTGACCTTGACGATCAACCATACATCTCATTTCATGATACAAGATAAGGTCCCATACCTGCTCAACGCCTTTGCAAGCCCAAAACAACCGCTCAATCTGTGCCTTGTCACCTGGTGCTTCTGCCAAAAATTTATACTTCGTTCCTGCATCATCCCCAAATTTAACAGGATTCTCAGCATACAAACGTGCAGTAAGAACAATCCAATGATCAGCGACTTTGAAGCATCGCTTCGCGCTGCGCGCTTCGCAACACAACTTCCCAGCTTACAGCGAGAACACACTCCAAGAATAAAGACAAAAGGAAAATAGGGAATACAAGGTAGAAGAAATAGAAGCGAAGAAAAGATGAACCCAGGGACAGATACTCACTTGTGTTCCTATCTGTCAGAACTAGAACGGGGTCAGGCATGTTGAACTTAGGTTCCTCCACCTCAGCCCTTGAAAGGGAAATAATAGTGCGTGGCAAGGGATTCTGAGGAACAAACCACAAAAAATTAGGCAGCTCCAACTATTCTCAGCAACAAAAAAGTTCAATCAGTTCTTACGAAAGGTCATAACCAAACAACTCATACCTCATTCGGCATCCCTTCAAGCGTGGTAGGAAAACGAACAAGCTAATAAATGAAGAAGCCATTACCTTAAAAGATAGGTAAATAACCAGCTCATATTTAGGAGGTTTTCTAGTATCGGATCCTGTTGGTACCACCGCAGCCCAACTGCGTGACACAGCGAGAATAAACTAAATGTCAAAAAAACACACAAAATACACCATCCTAGCATTTATTACAATCCATGTCAACAATAATGGTTACAACTCTACAGAGTCCATAAATTGAATATGCGAATATTAACAGAGAACATAAAACCTCCAGCTTACTTCTAACGAACACTATGACACCAAGTTCACTCCTAACAACTGCCAACATAATGATAATACAGCCTACTGTCAACTCCAAGGTTTAGATGTATAGCAAGAAACGTTGCTTACATCTTCTTAGTGACCCATTGAGGTGCAATTGCTTCTAGAAAACCAAGTCCAGAAAGCTCTCGGAGCATGCCAGTAAATATAGCAACACGATCCTGTACAGTAGGAGATAATATAACGTCAAACGCACTTAAATGACGATGGGACAACATCATAAACCAAAAATGATTGACCATCCACCCTGAAACTCCCCAGAATTGATTCAATGAGATAAGCATCATCTCCTTGACTACTCATGGCTCATATTGAATTGAACAGCAACATATGTCTCTAGCTTGAAGGAAAGGTTAACAGATTGTCCCATTGCTCCACGCAGCAAAATCGTCATTTTATGCCCAGGCAGTTAAAATGACATACATTCATCATATGAGAGAATCTTACTGCCGTTGCAAACATCCTATAGAATATTCATTATTATTCGAGATTATTAATGTATCATGTAACGGCAAATGCTCTACACTTTCAACTAGTGATTCTCGCTCGAAATCCTTCGCTAGAACAACTGCGAAGCTGTAATATAAATGTCAATATCAGCGAAAGACAGAATATCAAGAACTGCAGCATCACGGCACAAGAAAAATGGAATGAACTTACCTCAATCATGCGTACGACAGAGAGATGACCTCGATTACGTGCTAAGTCCAGTGGCGTCAAAGAATCATCGTTTACAGCAAGTGGATCCGCTGCATAACAGGAAACATTTGCTGTAAGACTTGTACCAGATATATTACTCTCTCAAATAATCAGAAGGAACTTTAGCTAAGGAGTGTGATGCGGATATCATACCTCCACGTGATAATAATAAAAACACAGTTCTGTCCAAGCCAAGCTTTGCAGCCTGATGTAGTGGCTGGCCTCCATGAGATCCTGCACCGAGAAAAGTTCCCCCTATTAAATCCAAAACAAAGTATGCAGTCTCCTCGTAATCCAGCTTTTTGGGCTATTTTCAATTCTAAATGGCTCCAAGCTCGTTTTTTAAGGATCTATAACCATTTTTACGAATTTGACTGCATGATCAGTTTCTAATGGTTACGTTTTTTAGCTTCTGAGTGGATTACATCGTTAAAGTTACAAAATTTATATGAATAACACGCCTTAATTTTATATTGGTCCCTTGTTGTGAGGGTTTATTCTTTTACAAGTTCATGACAAGCAACTTGAATACGATGAAAGAAATAAATAGCCAATTTCACAATATATCTATAACAAGAGGTATAGAATTTTTGAGGAAGAGAACATACCAGGTTGGTAGGCATTAATATTAGCCCCTAAATTGAGTAGAGTTAACACCATGTCAAACAAGTTGCCCCGTGTGCATGCAATCATCAAAGGAGTACGGCCTTCTTTGTCCATAGACTGCAAAACGAAACCAAGTATATAAAAATTCAATTAAAACAATAAACTCATAAAAATAATAAAAAGTGACCATCTTAGCTACCACACTCAACAGTAGTGAGAACGTAGAGTTCAAACACTCATTAGGCAAAGTGCCTCTCTGTTACATTTTGCGATTCTTCATATGACTGGCTTCCTTCTGAAAAGAAACCGTCCTAATCTACTATGCGGAATCACTTAATCTAATGGCATCCCCTCACTTAAGGATAAGAAGGTAACCCAATTCAACAAAAGCTAATAACGTATAAAAAGGCAACGTCTCTACAATTCTCACCTCCAAAGACGCTCCATCGTGTCGTAGTGCATTAACAGCACTCGTGTTTCCATTCAAAACTGCTTGATACAGCTGCTCATCCTTACTTGCTCCATTCCCCATCTCACCCTAGAATCTTCAAATCTGTTCATTAAAACAGAATCCAGTAGTTCAGATAATCTCGAGGCAACAAAGTGTCATCCTTAGGTACAAAATCTGATCTTAGTAAAACTAGGTCCTTGAACCTCCTCACTCTCATGAGTGAATACATTTTTGACAACACCGAAAGTGGTATCTGAAGTCCGCAGAAACTATAACGTGTAACATAGGCTTTTACAGCAAAAATAAATTGCTCAAAATGTCAACAATTCCCTCAAAACGAGCGGATATTGAGGGCACAGTCTTCTAGAAAAGTAATTAGTGAATATGCGGTGGCTTCACAAAAATTCCAAAACATAGCTGAATTGTAGGCTGACTCCTGGAAATAAAATAAAAACATAACAAAACTATCATGAACCAGCCCTGGAATCTCGAACAAACATGTCGTGACCGACGAGTTCCAGAAGTACAACCAAAGTTACCATAATCATGTTGCGTAAAAAACTCTAAAACCGAAATTCTCACAAACGCGAAAGCCACGAGGACATTCTCCGAGATGGCTCAACCCCAGAATTCAACCTAGCAAGCTTATGTTCCCGAATTGCCGTCCTCCCAGTCCTCCCACAACCCCAACCTCGACAACGACCACAATCACACCTAAATCTTCAAATTCCAATAGACTCACTCACACGTCCAACGAAAATCCAGAGCCCTCTTCCTGAATCCAATCACAAATCCTCTACAGCCCCTTCGTAGCCAATTCCCAATCTCCCCTCGCCTCTGAAATGCAAAGGTTCTGTCACGGCACGCAATCAGGATACCTGCAACGCTTCTTCCTCAAGATTCACACCTTAAAATCCTCTCTCTCTCTCTCTCGCTCGCTCTCTCCACCTTGCGTCGAAAGCCTTAGCCCTCTCGCACACACACACACACACACACACAGATTGAGCAAAGCGCGTGAAATTGCGCTGCGACAAGCACCAGATGTCCGCAAACACGAGCACAAGACTGAAGCCACAACATCTCTAACAAAGCGCCTTCATGGAATCTCGCTGGGGAACGGATGGGAACCAACGATGAGAACACAAGGAATCATCACTGGGAACATAAGGAGCAGTCGATGGGAACCACAGCGCACCTGCGTTCGCATGGAACCTTGCCCCGGCGGGGGTTCAAACCCTGGCTCGCTTGCTTGATCCCTCGCTCTTGTTCGTTGTTGTTGTCTTAGAGTCGCGGCGCATGGCGGAGGAAATCGTAAAGCCAGAATTCGGATGTCACGATGCTTGAATGGTGTTACCGCATTCGATCTTGTGACACCGTCGGCTTCCGCGGCCTGCACGTTGCGCGTCCTCGGAGGAGGACAATCACTGTTTGGAATGGTGCTGGGGGGTCATAAGGTTGGCCTGGTTACGTGACGACGTGTGTAGCAAGTCTCGCATCCGCGGAACTGACACTCCGCGGATTGACTTTGTGATGATTTAGCATGTATCCCCGTTTGGACGCGCGTGTTGGCGTGTTTGTTGGCAGCCTTCACTAGGTTTCATAATTTGTTTTTTTTTCTTTTTATGTCTCTTTGTTTATATATTTTTAGTGTGCTCTGCGTGTTATCTGTAATGAGAGACCTGTAGACTTTGAGGAGTTTTCTCTGATGACTGTTGTTCGAAGGGAATAGACTACAAGGTTAGAATACGAAGAATTTGGTGTGGTTAGTTGTGTAATAATTTATATATTTAGCACATTGTGCGTTTAATCTGCGACGATGGACTTGTGGACTTGACGACGCTCCCTCTGACGAATGTGGTTCGTGGTGAATAGACCGAGGTTCGCGACGGAAAGAATTTGGTTTGGTTAATAGTGCAAGCAAGCTAGTAATAGGAGCTTCTCTGGTATTTTTTTTATAGCTGCTTTAAATCTCAGTGACCTGGAGGAAGAGAGTCGAGCGATTTCTATTCCTAAAATATAGTCGTTCCCAATGAGATGGAGAGATATTCGATTAGGTCAATATCACGTGAAGTAAGAAGGATCTAATTCGGTGGAAGTGGTGAAAAGTATTAGACAATGAGCTCTTGCAGGCGATAGATAGTTATCTCATCAAACTCTTGCACAAGTCAATCATTGAACAATGTCAAATACAAATAAAATAAAATAAAATGCAAATACAAATATTCTGGCTATATTGAGAATCTATCCAGAATTCCTACTCTTAACATATCAAAGTAGTGAAAGGAGAAAACTCTTTAGCAAAAAAATAGTTATTTTATTCCAAAATTGATGAAGCAACCAGAAGTTGTAGCATTGATTATATTCATTTTGAAACTGATTATATTAATTGAATTTCCAATCATTTCCAATAAAATATTATGAATACAATGTGAATTATATTAAAGATAAGAATATCTGTAAATTTATTATTATGGTATTTTATTATAAAAACTATTTTTCAAATAAGTTTATTTCTAAAAAAAGAGTTATATATATATATATATATATATACATAATAAACTACAATAAAACCAACTAAATAAATAAAAAAAATAGAAGTAAAGATTTAATAACCACTAATATACTACAAGAACTTCTTTACAAGAACCTAAGTTTGCAATACAAATGCATTGCTGCAAAAATTTGTTTGCACTATAATTGGTATATGTTCGGTGGTAATGATGAAAATTATGTTGATATAATATAGTGGCTAAAAGTAACTAATAATATTTGTATTTGCACTATAATTAAAGTTAACATACTAAAATGTTCACGAATAAGATCAAATTTAGATTTAGATTTTATTTGATAAAAAAATTATTCAATTTTTTGTATAAAATTTGTTTTACTAAAAAATTCAGCCACAATTTTACTACTGTGCATCTGATATTTTTAAAACATTCTTTCCAAACTTTAACTTCTCATTTACTTTACCACGTTTTTATACCATTTTAATATATTATTGTTGTATCTTTTATTGTATTTTTTAAATTTTAGTTAACAACTTATCTATATTCTTTTTACAAATTTATTAGAATTCCATATATATATATATATATATATATATACACATATACATACCTAATTTAAAAATATTTGGATCAATAATTCATAACTTAATAGTTGCAAGAATTAATCCTAAAAGTTACTTCTTACTTTTGATATAGAACTATGCAAAGAAAACCTATAAATCACAATACATAATTTCTTTAAGTTCTATATTTGTTTGTATGATTAGGCTATCGAAGTTTGTGGAGACTAAAATAATTATAATGATTTTATTATATAATTTATTGAAGTTACTGTTTTCAATACATATTTTTAAGTATAATCAATGTAATTTTTTTTTTATAAGTTTTTTTTTATATTTTTATATTTTTAAAAGTAATAATCAAATCATTATTTTCTAGTTTTTAATATCAATTAAACTAGACCAAGTTCCATTTTTATAGATAATATATATATATATATATATATATGTTTACTGTTATGTACAAAAAAATCAATAGAAACATATTTATGTTTTTGGTTTGTAGATAAATAAGGTTGAGTTTACATAACAATCCTTTGAGTGGATAGCACTCAAGATAGTGGTTTTATTATTGCATAAGATTATATTCTAGTACCAATGTCAAAATTTGTAATCCATAACTTGAATTTTGATTATCAAATTGGCATCAACATAAAAATTTGTAAACAAATAAGTTCATATATGAATACTAATTTAATAATACTAGCTTTTGTAATTATAAATTTTATCAAAGATATTTATTGCATATATTAATTTGATTTATTTTTTCTACAACTTCATGATTATTTTAGTGTATGTTATATATATATTATTTAAGTACAAATATACACCATATATATATATATATATATATATATATATATATAACATACATATTATAATATTTAAGTACAAAAAATTTAACTTTATTTTAGTTTGAAATTTTATTTTGTGATATCCTTGATTTTCAAAGAATCAAACTTAAATATATTATTTACTTTTAATGTAGAAAATGTTGTATACACATTACTTTAAGGCACAATCAACATTTACACGAAATATTCAAAGAACTTGAGAGTATATATCTCTTGTATAATATAAATTTTAAAACATGCAAATGAAGTGAAATGTGTATATATATATATATATGAATTTATAAGATAGTTGATTGATAGTTTCAGAAAATATTTCATATCTAAAAAAATATTAAATTTAAATGAGAAGATAAAATAAATTAAGTTATATTTAAGGTTATAGATTTAATTAGTGCTGCATTAATAAAGAACAACATAGCATTAACTGTTGTTTTTGTATATTGTGTAATATAAATAAAAACAAGAAAAAAAAATCACATTTTAATATCGACATTTTTATTCATTCTGAATATTTTTGGCATTTGGTTCTAATGCAAAGCATTATATTAGACAAAACATTTGATAAAGAAAATGATGCTAGATAATAAAATACCAATTAGAATTTTAATTTTTTCAATTTAACTCAATTTACAATGCAACGAAAATGTGAATATGAATATTTAGTAATTTAGAAAATATTTTTTTTGTTGAGTGCAATAAAAAAAGTTGTCATACTACTGTGATATTTATAATACATTTTATAAGGTTTTCATAAATAATTAATAATAATAAAATAATAATCTCCGTTTTGATCAAGCATTTAAAAATTCACAATACTGTTTATTAAAAATAATGGCTTATAACAAGTCCAACTACATAAAAAAGTGCAACCTTGGTGCAATATTTGAAATTGTTGTTAAACTTCAAATTACCATGAAAAGAATACAACATAATTAATGAAGCATTTTAAAACTTATCAAAACAACAACAAGTCGAATTATTATTATGAAATGGTAACCTAAGATCCAAATCTATTTTCCAATTAAACTCGTTATACTTAATCAATCTAAAGCAATTAAAAACAAATCAAATGTAATCAACATAAACACACACACAGAATCATAGAACAATATCACAAACATAATAATAATAAAATAATAATAATAAAAAAAACGACTAAACAAAAATCTATCAACCCACTAGTACAAACCCAGAAATCAAACCCACAAATCTAACCCACACACACCAGGAACAAAATGGTGTGCAATCCCAGAATCCCACCACCAACAACAAACTATACAAACAAAACTACAATATCGTGGTTAATGCAATGTTAGAAAGTCACTCTCGGTGGCTACTGTGAGAGCGAGAGAGAGAAAGAGATGCAAAATTGGTCCCAAATGCCAAATTGGGGTTTCGTAAAAAGCAGGGCATGGCAGAGCAGACTGCAGCTCCAGTGGAAGCTCAGAAGCTCATGGAGATCGTCGTCGTCGTTGCAGCTGGCATCCCAGCCATTGCGGCCGATGCCGTTGCTGCTGCTGCTGCGGTGCGGAGGGGTGTGTGTGTGCGCGAGTGAGAGAGAGAGAGAGAGAGAGAGGTCCACTGATGATGGTGGTAACGCAGGTGTTGGCGATGGCGATGAAGCAGATGGAGATGGAGATGGAACCCCTTCGCCCTCCGGCGCCATTTTAATGTATCGCATGAAAGCCATCGCCGTGCGCTTGCGCTATCGCTTGATTGCCAACATCGCTGCTGGCCTTGCGTTTTGGTTCTGTTTTAGCTCTTCTTTTTTGTCTGCTACTGCTGCCTCACCAGCCACGAGATTCGGTGTTTGCTGAATTTGGTTAGTTTTGCAACTGCCAGAATTACCGGAGCGGGAAAGGGAAGGGAGGAAAAGGGAAGGGGAAGGGGAAGAGGAGATGGTGTGTGGGAGCAAGGAGGAGGAAGAGGAGGAGGAGGAGGAGGAGGAGGAAGGGATTGATTGTAGGGGAATTTTTGGGTTTTACTGCGGCGGAGGCCAATTGCAGGGAAGGTTGGGCGCGAGAGTTACTTATGTTAGATCCCAGATTCTGGTGACGGATTCTGCGAGGCGGGTGGATGCAGATATAACTCACTCTCCATGCACGAAGACGCTTTTTGTGTTGGTGAAACCTTGAAAGGACCTTGCTGTGGCCTTTTTTTACTTCGTCTCTCGCTGTCCCTCCCTCCCCCGATCTTTCTCTCGATCTGTGTCTCTTCTCCCTCCCTCCTCTTTCTTTCCTTCCTTCCTCCCCTCTGGCTTTGGTCGCCGCCGCTGGGGTCCTCATTATATGTGCGGTTTGCTTCTTTTGTCGGCACTTGGACACTCCTCTTGTCTTGCATCTTAGTTTGTTTGTTTGTTAGTTTGTTCCGTTATTTTATTTATTTTTTTAATAATTTTTATTTATTTAGTTTTTCCCGCAACCCAAAAGTAGTGCCGTCGCCAGCGCAGCCCTTTTTATTCGTCCCGGGCTGCTCCGGCCTTTGAACCTGCTTTCTCGCCTGTCCTCAGCTTATTGTTGGGTGCTCGAATTGCAGGTATATCTCTGTTCCTAATCTTGTCAAGCACACTCTGTGTCGGTATTGGGCTTGGAGAATCTGGCATTGAACTTTGATTTACTCTGGGTTTGATGGATTGTGCTGTGTTCTGCCACTCTAGGCGTTTGAATGCACTGCTGCAGGGAGACGACGGATGGTGTTGCGCATGCAATCTGGGAGCTCATCTGTGAACATCCTTAACAAGTGAACATGGGTTGTGTAGGATCGAAGGCAGTCAAAGGCGTAGATAGTAAGCCCCCCTCCCCACACCTACTCTGCAACTCATTACGATATCGTTTTTGTTTTTATTCTTATCATTGTCTTTTGTTGAAAAATGTTATTCCTTCTTCCGTTTTTGCATTCCACTCGCTCTCTCTCTCTCCGACCAGGGGTTGGCTTTTTCCGCGCATCTCTTAACACGAGGAGGCTGTTACTTGCTGATTCTTACGGAACATATTTTTGAGGCTTGCTTTCATGATGACTTGGAAGGAACCTGGATGAGCTGGAACCACCCAGTTCCGTTTCGTAAGCATGCACCATAATATGTTATTATCAACGTATGTAGCATTCGGTGTGCATGAGGCCGAGCTATAAATTCCAATGCTTCGCGTCGGAAAGAGAATATTATAGTAGCGTTGGACTCCAGTGTTTTCTTTCAATGCAGGGTTATGTATGAGAAAATTTTGTGACCCACAGAAATCCCTTTGACGTGTCCGATTTGTGGGTAGAAATCGTCGCAATTTCGTGAAGCAGCTCCTTGTTATTGCTTACTTCAATGATTTGGAGAGTCGCACAGTGAGTGCATCTTTTTTGGATCCGTGAAGTAGGTATTTGAACGCAAGGTGATAGATTTTGAATGAAGGCACTACGGTCCAACGCTGCTCTAATTTTCTCCTTCCTGCAGCGTGTGATAACGCCAGTAGTAACGTTTGTTGGGCGCTGGATATCAATTTTACTACTGCTTGCAGTAAATTTGCAAGCGCAATGATGTGTTAGCTTACATGTTCAGCCTTATACTTGTTTTTTTCACCGCTTTCCGAAAGCCTTGCAAGGATTGTAGACGAGCAATTACATTCTATATCGGAACCAAGGGTAGCAGGTAGCTGGGTGGTTGGGATGGACAATTCCACTGAGAAGCTTTCTGTGCGTCTCTGCCAGGAAATCAAAAGAGGATCAAGAGACCAAAGCCGTGGAAACATACTGAACCCATCACTCGTACACAACTGAAGCAGATGAGGGACGAGTTTTGGGACACGGCTCCTCACTACGGTGGAAAGAAAGGTACCCTCCCGATCCTGAAAGGGAATAAAATGTGAGTCTTTGATGCTACATTTTACAAATTATTCGACCTCCTCATGTTTGGATGTGCAGAAATTTGGGATGCTCTCAAAGCAGCAGTAGAAGCCGATGTTAATCTGGCGCAAGTTATTGTTGATAGTGCCGGTATCATTGTCCAGTCCGAAGATTTGTCTATTTGTTATGATGAAAGAGGTTGAGCTTCTCACCTTGTGACTCTTCTCTGCCTCCAGAATTATGCCTCGTGATATTGTGCTGCGACCTTACGTTGCCATGCTTGGGAAGGAAATAGCGCAATGCTTTTGAACTGACGTTGTCATGCTTGCTTAGAAATTGTTTTCAATTGTTGGAATAGTAACAGAATTCAGTTAAGTTAGCTTTCGATACAGTTTCGTTGAACTCAGATGGACCCAGGTAGCTTTTGCAAAGCATGGATTTAGACCTGTTGCTGATCAATCCACTTGCGTGTGTGACAGGTGCAAAGTATGATTTACCCAAGTATGTGTTAAGCGAGCCAACAAATATCAAAGAGAACTAGCATACTTTTCATATTTTTCTGGTACATCTTGAACAGCAGCTGATGAACCGTCTGTACGAGCAGCGATAAGATGAATAGGCAGGATGCTATTCATGTGCGATTACGAGTGTCAGACTTCAATGGCTGTTCAATTGTGTGATTGGAGGCTATTTTTGTGTCGTATCGTGTTTAGAGCGAGCATGATGTGGTTAAAGCATACCATATTGCATAGTCATCATTCATTGCATTATTTTAATTCACTGTTTCGATACCGTACAACATCGTTGCCATTAGCGGTTGTACAAAGTTATACATATGTATAGGGCGATCCAAGTGAAAGTAAGTACACCCAAATATGATATAATGCCACTTCATCGCTAACTGGATATAGTAGAGACATCTGCAGGGTGTTAAGTGAATGTTATCAACAAATTAAAATAAAGAAATTTCTTTTGCATACCCACAGTGCCCTGTGATAAGATCCCAATTCAAAGAATTCTGGAAATTGCAGCTTATAAACGTTGTACAGACCTGGCAGACCTGTGTAGGCTGCGGAATATAAAGCTACAATAATGTTTCACGTTTTTATGTGAGCGTTATGTGCAGCCTACGCAAATTGGAGACTATGACGAAAATGTCTCAACCTTGAGTCACATCCATAGATGTAGCCTCTGGTTCTTGTGCAGTGCTCTCGTCCTGTTCCTGCAGCATATACAATGACTACTATGTAACTACAACACAATAACCAAGAGAAAAAGTCATTATCGACGACAAAAAAATCCAGAAAATTCAGTACATCGAACAAGCTCTGCACCTGTTCCGCTTGATTTGCTTCCGTGACATCTTGAACCTCTTGTTCTCCAGCCTCAGTGGCATTTGCACCTTCATCAACTTTGGTTATTGGATCACCAGCTTGTTCTGGTTGAGAATCACCCATGCTTGTATCCTGCAGAATCACCATGCATCTTGAGTTTGTTCACTACGTTTCGAACCATACAAAATACTCTACGAGAGCATCATAACTCAAAAGAATAAAATTAACAACAGATTTTCAAGCTTGACCTATATCGACTAAGACAACACAAGTACATGACAGCACGTAACTGTACCAATCACAATCAACAGTAGTCACTGGTGCACAGCAGATACACAGGCAGCTGACAATTAAGCCTCAGCCTCAAACTATGTAGATCACCCATAGTGAAAGGTTACGATTAACATGCCGAAGGTTGCCTGAGTAGAATACCTGTTGGGTACCAGCCGCCTCAGCTCCATCCTTCTCCTGTGCTGGACTTGTGGCAGCCACTGCCTCTTGTTCTAATCTTGACAGAGTTTCAGCTTCTTCTTCAGCTTTCTGAGCTTCTTCCTTCTTCTGTTGCAGGATTACTGAAACCTGCGCAAGGCAACATTGTTATCGTGTCTAAGAGAGACTAACCGTTTGATAGAGGCAGCTGATTAATATGAGAGGTTAAAATTTGCCTCATGAAACCGCCAGTTATCAAACGCTATTCCCAAACCAAGAATACATCGAGCGGATTCACAGCAAACAACACTCTATACTCCTGGTTATAGTACTTCGTACTTGCACGTAAAACAATATGGAACTTACCCTATTGAACGTCACAGATAACTGACCTGGTGCATTCTTTAAATCTATCAATGCTCGAGAAATAGTAATGAATAAAGAATCTAAGAAAAACTCTATGTAAAAAAGGACAGAATCTGGAAGATAACGTACAGGCAAATATCGCAAGGGTTTCGCTGGTGGTGGCTCCTCCGGAGTGGACTCTTTCGTCCCTGGAAATACAGTTATAGTACACAAATTACAACTTCAACCCCAAAGGATCATGTTCTAGAATAATAACTGTGCAGACTAGAACAAACGTTGATAATTGCGCATAGAACATGAGCACAAAACTGTCGCGTAGTAGCTCATACCGAACTAACCCTTATCCAGGGCATAGCAAAGACCAGCGACCATAACCTTTGGAAAACACTCAACGGAATCCCACTTCCATATCCCCTGATTGCTCTTTTATCCAGCGGATACATACAGACAAGATGTCATGTTATTTACATTGCAAGAGAAAGTGGCAAAAAAGACGAGCATATGTGAAAACATACCGTTAGCAGCGGGTACCGTGATAGGCGACCATTTGTAAAGAAGAACACGACAAGCTGCAGCGGAAGGAGTGGACGAAGGCGCCACGGGAGCCCAAGACTTCTTCCATCGCCGCACTCGACCTTGGAATACCGATGCCGGACCATGGCGAGTGGACGACCGACTGCCCATTCGCGTACTCCCCAAACCCCCTTCCATCTTGACCTCCCAGAACCCTAAACCTGACAAAAAAACCGATTCTAACAATTGGGTGCTATGGGTCTTCTGCAATGGAGCTTGAGCATTTCCATAGCCTTACATCGCCCTCCAGGAACCAAACGATGCAATGCGCAGTGATCCTGAGCGGGCGCGAGACAGTGCAAAAATGGGAATGGCGAGAGGGTGAGGGGAAGCGTGGAGGCGATCACGAGGGAATGAGAACGCATGGCATGGCAGAGAGTGCAGGGATCGACACGAACTGAATGAGGTAAGGCCACCGTGCGGTGCTCCGCTGTGTGTCTGTGTGTGATCGATCGAGCTCCCTCACTCGCTCTCCCTCCCTCCCTCGATGCTCCGCGAGCTCTGCTTGGTCGTGCCTTTCCCAACACCACCTTCGTTTCCTTCGTTTTCTTCCCTCGCTTTCTTTCCCTCGCTTTTCTCTCTTTCCCTCCCTTTCCTTTCTTTCCCTCGCTTTTCTCTCTTTTCCTCCCTTTCCTTTCTTTCTTTTGCTTTTCTTTCTTTCCTTCACTTTTCTTTCTTTCTTTCGCTATCATTTCTTTCCCTTCCCTCTGATTATCCAATTCTTTTCTTTCCTTTTTCCATCTTTTACCCTTTGGTTTCGTGGCATCGTTTTTCTTCAAACAGGTTTTGCTCTGGCAACTACAGATTATGAAATTAGATATTAAATTAATTCCAAGTAGATCGACTGTGTAGGGTATATGCTCAATGTGCTTGTGTACTTAACAATGGTTATTGAGGTGATACTCTGCATACTTTCAATGTGTGACACTACTTTTTATAGTTTCGGCCCTTTTTTTGTTTTCTTATTCTTGCGAAATAATATGATTTTATTCAAACATTGTGGGGTGTTGAAATAGTGTTTAAAATTCGTGTCGGTTGGAAGAAATGAGATCGGTGAGATATGGAATATGATACGAATGTAGCTTGGTTAAAATCACATTATTAAATTGTTTAAATTTATTTTGAAGTTCTTGTTTTTATCTTACTTCAAGGGATTACACATTACATCCATACACACTAGAAAAAAAAAAATCATAATAGCTCTTTTCATGTTTCCAACACAATTATCCCATATCAACGTCCAATGAAAAGATGTAAATGTAGATATAAATAAAAGTTAAAATCACAGGCTGTCTGAAAATTAATCCTGGAATCCTACACATTGACCAGGTACGAAAATCATGCCTAATGATATCCATATCAATGAGCAGTCTTCGTTCGAGGTAGTTTAAGAGTTACTCGACACCCTTGCATGCTCTCCAAATATTACGTCTACAATCTCGTACACACTGGACTCCTTGTATATTATTACTTAACTGTTTCGCAAATTTTTTACTGTTTTAAAGCCAGTGCAACATTCCCAAGTGTAACTCTTAAGCAGAAGCTCTACAGAAACCCATAAAACTGCCAAAAATACAACCATGAGACACCTAGGCATTTTAACTCCAATTAGGATATTTTCAAAAATCTAAGAAATACATGACGAAGATATCATACTACTTCATCAGTGCTGCTTTGCAATCGTTCTTGACCACTTGATAGCTTCTTATTGTACAATGGCAGTTCAAGAAGGAACACCAGCTTGAACCAACTTGGAAGCGCTCTATACAATGCTGGAGGTAGAGGTATCAAGGGACTGCGACAAAACAAGGAATCTCACATCAGTGAAAGGAAATAAAGCTAAGATACCACCAGAAATGGTCAACTGGCGACATGTAAGATCGAAATTACTTGATGTACTCCTTAATTAAAAAAACCTGTTACTTTCAGGTCTCGGATATTAACAGCTCATGCACCTTGCGCGAAAAGAAACATCTAATAGGTCGCTCGGCATGGCCTTACCTTGTCCTGTTCTTGTAAGTCCTGTATTGTGGATTGTTTCCATGCTTCTTATCAGCTGACTCCTGGAACGCCCAGGCAAAATTCTTCGATTCAGGATTTCCAGACACATGTGGAGACCAGAAAGTATTCTGCAATTGCTGTAATTGAAACATTATATTTTATTCTCATCATAATGAGGACTTGATAATGGTGATTAACATAGAAATTACCTCAAGCAACGGCATTCCACTCAAGAAAAGCAGAAGTAACGTAATGAAGATAGGACCAGCAATAACTGCCCATTGGCCATTCCTTAAAACTGGCGTGGAGCTTATAAATATGCCCCACCATAGAAGGATCTGCAATAAAGAAATAATTTTGCTTAGATAAAATTGAAAAACAATGCTGAATCCTTGCGTTAAATTCTCTTCAGCAGAGGTCTATATATGTGTAGAATGAAGTCGAAACAAGAGATTTTCAATAAGCACAGTTCTAATGAAGCTCATTGTAAAACCTAAACTTCTGACGACATGTTTAGCATCCATGAACTAGCACTAAACGGAAATGACTATGGTAGAACCGTATAATAACGTATTATTGCAGAGGGGCATCAAGCGTACAAGCTAGACAACAAAAACATGAGTGCAAGACAAACCAAAATGCTCACCTCTCCAAAATAGTTTGGATGTCTTGACCAACCCCAGACGCCAACATCACACCATCTGCCTTTACTGGCAGGATTTTTCTTCAGATTCAACTTTTGCTGATCTGCAACTGTCTCAATAGATAAACCTATAAGCCATAGAATCCAACCCACAATATCCGCCGCTGTAATGTTGGGATTCCTATCACTTCCATTGACAACCGTAACAGGCAAGCTAACGGTCCACACCCAAATTGCCTGACAAAAAACATCCATCATCAATATTTAAGTATGAGGGTTACAGGCAAACGTGCAGAATCAAGGATAGAAAGTTATCTTCCAACAGAGTTTGAGATCCGATACGCATTTATCTTATGCTCTTCAATAGAAAAGGAACATTGACAACGATCCTCCAACAATTGTTATTGTAGTGTAATATAGCTTTTCCGTTAAAGATAAAAATAAAGTATTTCGGTAATCGCACAGCAATCTGGACTAGAACAATTTTACTCATATTCAGTTCTCACAAACCAGCATATTTAATCCGAAACATTTCAAAGGAATAAAATTTTAAAAAGTTGTTCAAACCAGAGGATTCACATCCTTGAGGGAGCAGAAACCTGAGTCAACCAGAATGCAGCGAACTTCAAAAGATTCCCGCGCTTGTCATCAAACCGTTTATCTTCTCCCCATGCTAATATTCTGGATTTATCATCCACGTATTGTTAGTTACTCCTGAATCCATTTATGAGGCTTCTGGAATTAAGAAAGATTTAGATATTTGTTTTTGCTATGCCAACCAGTTAAGATACTACAATCTAGTTCTGATTCTTGACCTTTAGTTCCTAACTCTGAAGTTAGCGAGGAAAGTTCAAAAACTTCGAAAACAATAATCTGCAGTCACAAGCAGACAACTATGATTTCGGAAGATGTTCTTGTACCTGAGAAGCAAGAAGATAGCCAATCGAAATCCCCAAACCACAACAAGGGCTGTGAGCACAATCTGCAATCATGACCAAAAGAATTCATTAAGGACAAGGCTACTCCCCCTGACAATGTAAGTATCAACCTTAAAAGCATGTGAAGAATGAGAAGAAGAGGACATGCCGAGGACTAAAGAATATCCTCTAACTTCCGAAGGGAATTCACCTGTCGAAAGTGCCATGTTTGGTGAAGGACAAACGTAAGCAGTGCTAGTATTACAAAGTTTGTGCCGCCTGTCACATTCGAGGAAAGTATCAGAAGCAACTATAAAACGACTTAATGCGAATCTACATACCAAGGCACTTTCTCCTGCTGTCGAATAGAGAACTAGCGAAATTGCGATCAACACAACAAACGCACTTACCAGCGAAGTCGGTAACCTTGTCGAATTTACAGGTAGCAGCAACAATGAAAAATGCAAACTGGTAGCATATCTGCATTTGTTACACAATAAAAAGAGAAACAGACAGTAGAATATGTGGTCATTCGCATGAAGGATCAAAAATAGCAAGCCCGATTTCGATGCCGCTGTTCAAGCTGCCGACGATGAAAGAAGGCGACAAATAAACAAAAAAACACAATAAATCAAAAATACTCACAGTGACGATTGCAGTGATGGCCAAGTAATTGTCGTCAATTACAAACGCCATGGCAAGGTGCAGTATCCTTCAAAAAAAAATCAAAAATATAAAAACTAACCACCAAGGTCTGGTCCAACGGCCGCACTCAAGATTTCAAAGACTTCCACTCCTTCGGTCACAGAAACTACATCTCCGCTCTGCTCCTCACAGCACTCTTAATCCGCCACAACAACACGTCTCACGTGTTCGCAATCGCTCCTGTGGCAACTACCCCGCGAGGAACGTCGATCCTTCCCAGCAGACGCAATAGAGGTCCAAATGTGCCTCACTCAATCCATTCCAACTCGGCATCACAGATTGTTTGACTGGACTCTCGTTGCCTCGCTCTTGCCTGCAGAGTGTTGGCCGTAGAGACTGCCATGATCAGCGTAATTAGAGCCAGAGACAGGCGATAACAAACTTGCACCTGATCTTAGCGATGGACATGGACGCGGAAGGAGGCGAGCGAGTAGAGTGGCAAAAGAATCTGCCGACGAATACGACGACCAAGGAGCGAAGGCTTTGGTGGAGCTTGCAGAGCCACAAGCATGGAGTCGACGACGGAGGCGGGAGGGAGGGAGGGGGAGGGGGACGGGGAGCCTTCGCCCGGGCTGTGCGCGGGAGAATGGTCCGCCGCGTCCGTCCCACTCTTCCATGTCAGACGCCATGTCAGCTCTCCACGTCGGCGCTTTCCCGTCGTGACAGGCTGGATAGGATTGTCCAGGTGTGGGGTCGCACTCATACTGTAAACCTTTAGAGTCTAAAAATATATTTACGCGTTTTTTTTTTTTTTTTTTTTTTTTTTTCCTTCGTCGTCGGGGTCGTAATTGGATGTTAAATTAATGTTTTATGATTTTTTGAAGTAATTTTATTGACTAAATTTTACTTTGAAGTCGACACATCCACAAATTATAGCCATTTAGGTACGAACAGAAATAATACTTGTTTGGTGTTTTTAATGAAAAGTGAATGTGATTCATAATTTTCTTCCTATGTAGTGATGGTCTCTATGAAAAAAAGCTCAATGTATACATCTTAATACCATGCTTTTGAATAATATTCGAATATTATTCAATTTTTTTTATGAGAACGTGGTGTTAGTGTGTTCTTTTTTTTTTTTTTTTTTTTTTTTTTTGTAGTAAAATTTGATATATTCAAAAAATAAAAATAAAAATAAAAATAACTTGAACCATTCTAAACAATGACAATAGTTTTAATAAAATATGCCAGATATTCAAAACTAAAGTTGGTATTAATAACTTTTGAAAATGTGGTTTCAGGAAATGTATCAACATTTCCTTTCCAATCACGTTATGAAAACTTTGGTATTTTCAGCATATATTTTAAATAACATTTTTTGTAACTGTTCATAGTATGATATACAGAATAAATCTATCTCTTTGTTATGAAGCATTAGAGCTATCTACTCATAGTTATTGGGATTTGTAGCATGTATACAAAATAAATCTATCTCATTGCTATTTGAGCAGACATTTTGATTTCAGAAAGAATACAAAATGGATTTTTATTGTTACTTTTGGTTTTTGCTTAATAAATATTCTACAGACTCTAACCAATACCAGGATAGTGTAATTCAAAAAATAATTAATGTTACAATGTTTTTTCCCCATCATATCATAATGTCAGAAAGAAAAAGAGAAAAATGTATTTTTTTAATATTTTTTACCACTTGTTTACATTTTTATTTTTTGTAATTTTTTCTTATCCCCATTTAAATAATCAATTTCCATGTGACTAAATTTTTGGCAAAAAGTAATATAGTAGAATTTTGGAATTGAAATTGTTTCCTTAGTGGCTTCTTCAAACATAGTATCAAAACTCTTGGTTCATTAAATGTGCAATGTCAAATAATTTTGTTTCAAATTGTGTTTTAAGATCTTGGACAAGTAAGTCTTCAAAGTGTATTGCCAAACCTTTTATGATAGATAAAACTACAATACAAGCATCTTTCTACATTTATAAAATTATTTCCATACTCGAATTTATAACTAACTAACTAACTAACTAACTAACTATATAATATAACTAACTAACTATATAATATAACTAACTAACTAACTAACTATATAATATTTTTTATAAAAAAAATCAGTTAATTATTTCTTGGATGTAGCAATATTCATCTTGAAACATTCATAAGAAATATAATATAAAAAAATTAATAAATTAATAAGAACATTTATACTACATGTAAAATAGATAAAAGAGAACTATTGATAGTGTGATACAACCTTTGACACTTATTGATTTGATAAACTAAACTTTGAAAGAACTACCTCTAAAATCTAAAAGTTTGGTTTTAAAAAACAAATCAATGATAATCAAAGAATTTAAAGTTGTGCCAGCAAAAGCATGTCAAAAGCTTGCAAGAAACAATACATTGGCTGATTTTTTTCAAAATGGTCAATTTAGCCTGTATGAAATTTGTGAAGAAATTTTTTTACTAAAAAATACTATCAAAAAGCCCACCAGGTTTAATATAATTAATCATAATACAAATATTCTGAAACTTTAAACTGCACTGAAATAAGTGGACAAGCCACACATCTTTTTATTATGCAATGATTTCTGCAAAGTGGAACAGGTGCTGATCAAAATGAAGAGGTTTCTTTTTATTTATGTGTTTATTGATTAAATTAAGTTAGTCACAAGCCTAAGCATTTCATAAAGCATGACATACTGAAATAATGCTATGTAGTTTAAATTCAATTTTCAATTTTTGACTTCTATAGTTATTAAAATATGCATGGCATAAACATTAAAAAATCATTCATGATGTTAATTTACAACTTATTCCGACTTTTACAGAATTCTGATGCAAATAGATGACTTCCATAATTTATGAATAAAAATAACCAAAACAAATTTTCTGACATTTGAGTTATAAAAAATAATTAAATAAAAATCTCTGTAAGTTCCTTCTTGATTAACCGCATCTCTCCACACACCTCAAAAATACCAAGACTGCAATTCTTTATTTTCCCACAACAAATTGTTCAAATAGTCCATGAGTGAATGTTGGTTAAATCAAACTCCCTATTGGCTAAACACTAAGATTTGCACATCCCCAAACTTCTATTAACAAGGAGATGTTTTCCAAGTGGACGCTAGCAGATTGAGTTAATCCACCATTAGGTGCAGCAACTGCTCTGACATAAATAGTAAGAACAATATGAAAGCCCAATCTCAGTCGAAAGTGTTTTACGAAGATCACTCTAGTTCAAAATCTCTTCCGGAGTAGATACATCACAAGTCTGCACCGCCCAAAAATGATTGGCAACAAAGTTTATGAATCACACTAAGTTGAATAAATTTTCTCATTCAAGTACTTGAGGGAAGGGATAAGAAGAAACTGTGTACAAATATGTGCCTAAGGGTCTAAAGGCCGCTTCTTGGAGGAGCACCGAACATTCACAGATCTAGTTATACAAATCATCGTCATCTGCAGAAGCACCAAATGTTGTAGTTTCTGCAGCATGAGGTGCTCCAGCAGCGGCGGCTGGGCGATCAGCAAATCGAAATTCGGATCCAAACCCACGGGATTGCTGCAAAGTCTGAGCAAATGATTGGTACTTGCGAATGTCAGCATCGCTCACACTGCGGCGAGCAAACTTCATGGATTCCTCGAAGTGGCGTGCTTTAATCTGAGCAGGTTCTTCCACTACATCTTCTTCCATGGCTTCAGGATTCTCTGCCCTCCTCTTTTCCCTCTCAATGTCCTGCAATAAGTCCACAGCGCAGATTTAGAGTATTCACAACAAGATTCACTACTTGTCTGTTCGAAAAGACGCCGAACTTGTGATATGAAATATCAAAATGCTCTGGAATCATGATCATTAATGTTAGGAGCACAGTTATCAAAATTAGATAATTTTGATGTGATTTGGTTAACAAAATATTCCAGATGTTAAATAAAAGAGCACACATGGAGATAGAGGAACTAACCTTCTCAATATCTTCACGAATAGCGTACTTGGAAGCACGTTGACAAATTTCAGTAATATCTGCACCACTGAAACCTTGAGTGAACTTCGCTAGGGCCTGCAAATCCACCTCCTTGGCTACAGGTGACTTCCTCAAAGTAGCCTGGAAGATTCTCAAACGAGAAGCTTCATCTGGTAGGGGAATATAAATAAGTTGATCCAGACGCCCAGGCCTGAGGAGTGCAGAATCTATAATATCAGGCCTGTTAGTCGCACCAATAATAAATACAGTCTTTTTTGCGTTCATTCCATCCATCTCAGTAAGCAGCTGATTCAAGACACGATCAGCAGCTCCACCAGCATCACCTTGACTGCTACCACGCTGTACAAGCCATCACAAGCAGTACACGAAGTCAATTTCCAGAAAATGGTAAATAACTTAATATATGGGCCTAGAAGTTCAGTAGTTTGAAATGTAAAGTTCCTCTGAAACAAATGACACAAACGTTCATGAACCTAAGCAAACAAAACCCAACTACATAATATAACAGTTGTAATCTGGTGCAAAATACTTAAGTTCTGCAAAGAGGATGCGTTGTGGTGTGACCTGATTGGCAATCGAGTCTAGCTCATCAAAGAAGAGGACACAAGGGGCCGACTGGCGAGCCTTGTCAAACACATCGCGTACGTTTGCTTCACTCTCACCAAACCACATGGTCAATAGTTCTGGCCCCTTTACACTGATGAAATTTGCTTGACATTCATTGGCGATTGCCTTGGCGAGAAGAGTCTTTCCACATCCAGGTGGACCATAGAACAACACACCCTTTGATGGGGACATTCCAAATTTCTCAAATTTCTCCGGATGCTCCACTGGATATTGCACAGTCTGCCAAACCATTACAATCGAACCGTGAATCGAAACTGCTTCGAAAGAGTACGACCATTCGACTGTGCAGTGCCAGATCTAGCACATGTTACATTGTAAGGAGTGAAAACTGAGTTGAAATATGTGACTGATAAAATACCTCTTGAAGCTCCCGCTTAACATTCTCCAGGCCTCCAATGTCGGCCCAGGTAGTATTGGGCACCTCCACCACAGTTTCCCGAAGAGCAGAGGGGTTACTGATGCCAAGAGCGGTCTGGAAATGCTCATTAGTTACAGCCATAGAATTAAGCACTTCTGCATCAATGGTGTCATCTTCCAAATCTATCACATCCATCTTCTCACGAATACACTGAAGCGCTGCTTCGGTACATAATGCAGCTAAATCAGCACCGACAAACCCATGAGTATCATGGGCAATACTCTCCAGATTTGCCTGCATTCCATAAAAGGCAGCTGTGAGGAATCATTCGAATCATGATAATGTAGCATAAAAAAATAAAAATAAAAATAAAAAAAAGAGAGAGAACAAACAAGAATATAATAACCTTAGAAAAGGTAATAAAACGTGAAGTTTACATTATCTGCAAGCTTCATGTTCTTAGTATGAATACGAACAACTTCCAACCGACCAACTTCATCTGGAACACCAATATCAATTTCACGATCAAAACGGCCAAAGCGACGAAGTGCTGGGTCAATACTGTTCGGACGATTGGTAGCACCCATCACGATAACATGGGCACGGGACTTCAATCCATCCATAAGAGTCAACAACTGAGATACAATTCGCCTTTCCACCTCTCCTTGAGTCTTCTCCCTGTAAAAGAACTCCACAAAAGTTATTTAAAATTTAAAAATAAAATAAACACATGCTTGTGATATTTTACTTAATCAGATTACATGCGCGACCTGTCGGGTGCACAAACTGAAGCATACGAACAAAATATCACTACGGCGAGAATGTTGTTCACCAATTTCTCAATAAAAATAACCCAAAAACAAACTTCGGACTCCATAAAGGCTAGGGCAGAAAACCAATACCTCTTCGGTGCAATAGAGTCGATTTCATCAATAAAAATAATGGATGGTGCATTTTTCTCTGCCTCCTCAAAAGCCTTTCTCAAATTACTCTCGCTCTCACCCGCTAACTTTGACATAATTTCTGGACCATTTATCAGGAAAAAGAAAGCTCCAGTTTCGTTGGCTACAGCTCTGGCAATCAATGTCTTCCCTGAACCAGGAGGACCAAATAACAAGATACCCTTGGGAGGCTTTACTCCAATCGACTTAAAGAGTTGAGGATGCCTCAGAGGCAACTCCACGAGTTCACGGATTTGTGCCATCTGCTTGCGAACTCCACCCACATCATCATACCCAACTTCGTCTAGTCTTTCCTCGTCCTCACGCCTGCATTCATGGACGACAGCTCAATAAATCTCAAGAAACTTTAAAACAGTGATAAAGCTCAACATACCCATGCGAAAACCAATTTTTAATCGAATACTTCGACATACCGTAAAATAATTCTTCGAGAATATCCTACATTATCAAGCTATGTCATCACCACTTCCATCAACGCAAATAATAACTGACCTCAAAGGTTCGCCCTCGCAGAAAATTTCAGTATCAGGGGCAACAATGCAATACTCTACAGGATCTGTTTCCACAACTTTAAACTCCACGCTCCTCATGCCTCCCCGCACCAGGAACAAATCACCTTTGCGAACTGGTCTGTAAGCTTCCAAGAAGTATGCTGCAGCAACACATGTTTTATGAGCACCCAAACTCTTTAACAATCCGTCCAGTTTTATTTGTAGTCACGATCTTAAATATGAGGAAATGGTCCAGGGTAGAAACAGAACTTTAGAATGCGAACGCACCCTCGAGCAAACAACAACCAAGAGTGAAAAAAAAGTACTCACGCTTTAAGTAAGCGTCAAAAAGGTTTCCAGTAACTCCTTCGATCGAGTCATCAAATGGAAGGACATGGATTTGTTTTCCATATTTAACATCAGCGCATTGGTGAACTGACACAACGTCTCCTAGGCGCACCCGAAGATTGGCCCTTACCACCTTGTTCATTCGTATTTTAGGTTCATCACAAGTGTCATCAGCCAACACAATACACACAGTGTCCTTGCGTTTCTTACCCTGTGATAAACAACAAGACGTAGAGGTTTAGTTGTTAAAACATTCACTAGAGAAAATCACATGACAGATGACGGTTTCCAGTGTAGAATCCCAAAATTTCTGACAAACAACAGATAGTCAAAAAACACGAGACATGAACCATTCAGGCAGAGCCATGACAAAGAGTGCTGAGATGAACCTTAATCAGTACAGTGTCTCCACGAAAAAGCTGCAACTTTTCCATAGTTTCCATGTTTAGTGCTACCACGGAATTATCATCGTTCACAGCCTCGTCAACAACCAAGCGGTTAGGAGCCTTCTTACGCTCAAGAATAGCAGTAGAAAAATCTTTCTTTGCAACTGGCTTGCTGAATTGCCAAAACAAAGACAAACATTCATTAACTGTGTCAAAACTTACGCAGGCCACCCCGAAATAGTTAGCTGGAATCCTTGCAACGCCCTTAGGACTGGCGTACACAAGATTCAAAATTGAATTTCCTTACATAATAGAAGTTACAAGAATTCGACCATAGTGATGCCTAAGGACATGAGACTGTGCACAATTCCCTTACACAAAAAAGAAAACACTCTAAGCTCGAGCGCAAGAACGACAGTAAAAGGAGAAAGTCGATTACATCCACGCCAATGAGGCATGTTGCCGGCACCTTTTGTGCTAATTACTCTACCATTGCACGAAGCTCATGCTTCGCAATGCATGAAGGAATCAACGACGTTTCACTTCCATAGAGCAACTACCCTGAGCTTGTCAATCGGAGCTCAAACTCAAAGAAACGACAAATCTCCCTAATCCGTCGTACTCTCCGACGCACATTAGTACAACGGGACAACAAGTTGCTACCCATGGTCAATCGGAAAGAAAACCCTAGCTGGCTTGACAATCATCTCCAATTTCCTCATCATATCCAAAACAAGCAATCAAACCTAACTAAGTACGTCAAAGAGCAGAAAAAAACACCAATTCCGCGTCCAACCACATCAAACATCGTCACCTATTCAAACCCTATCCATCCGAATAACTATCCTGGCAACTGATCTAACACCGAAACTAACGCAACCGGCCGCGCTATCAATTAACCATTATAGTCTCAGCAAACAAGGTGCGAGATCGTAACGGATCCGAAGATTCGCCGGGGTGTGAAGCCGCGGGAGTCGCCATGTTCAATCCGCAATCCTTCCTTCCTTCCTTCCACTGCCGATCTCACTCTCTCCTTGGAGAAACAACCGATTCCAATGCGGTTTTCCTCCACAGTCAAAGGGAGTGCCAGAAGCTTCTCCGCTCGCAATGCGAATCAGGGCACAAGCACTGCTAAATATCAGCGGAAGCGGTGCGAATTGACGGCGAGACCCTTCGAATCGAAGCAAACGTGAGGTTTCAGGAACACATAGCCAAGACGAAGACGAAGTTGGCGAAACGGGTGCTCTTCAGAAGCTCCTGCTCTCACGTTCCACGTTTACTTTCTCGCTTTCCGCTTTTACGGTTCCTTTTTGGGCGTGGAGCGAAATTGCCTGCTCGCCGCGATCGTCTCGATTTCCACATGAGGGGATGTCTTAAAATGCTGACGTGTCAATTTGGCGGTAATACATTGGATGACGTCAGAGTATTTTGTCGGTATAGACTGTAATAAAGTTGCTGTCAAAGTTAAAGTAAAGTTGACAGAAAGGAGAAAAGTGAAGGGCGGAGAAGCCCTGCACTTTGTTCGTCATAGCGAGGTGGTATATTTCTCTAACAGTTAGTTATTATTATTAAACAATCAGATGGTGTGGTTTTAAATTGTTCATTTTCTATTTGAAATTAATTTTTACTGAATTTTTATCTATAAATTCAAAAAAATATATATTTGATAATGTAAATAACAATTATAAACTTATTTTTTATTTCATGAGAAAATTTTATTAAAATAATTCTATGTCGATTTTCTGAAGTTTTTTGATTCTTAAAATGAAAATATTTAAAAAATAAAATAAAAATAAATAACACTTTAATGCTTCTAACACCTTAAAAAGGTCACTTTACATTCTAAAAGTGCCAAAACATTATATTCTAGAAGTGCCAAAAAATATATTTGTAAATTTTATAAAAAAAAATGTTATTTTAAAAAAATTATAATCATATATATATATATATATATATATATATAATGTGTGTTTAATTTAACAGGAAATAAACTTGATTGTAAATTATACTCGAATAATAATAAAGTAGCCACTATTTAGAGGCCATTATTTTTTTCTCATGTATGTATGCATATGTATATATATATATATATATATATATATGCATTTGTTCTAATTATGAAGTCATATTCTTCATATTCGTAATGAATTATTAATTTTTATATTAAATTTTTGAAAGGTGTTTAAAATATGTTTACTATTCATTTTTAGGACTCTTTATGTGGAATTGCTTTAAAGTCTTCCAAAGCACATCATAACAACTTTTTAAGCATAAGAGAATATATTTGTTACTACATTCTTCATTACCCTATAAAGTTGCTCAAAAAAGATGATTTATGGTCTCAAAACACATCTAGGCAACATAAATAAATTTTAAAAATTATAATTTGACTTAAATAGCAAAAGACTTTATAACTTGGTAGTCTAGCATAAATGCACCTTTGAGACACATCAATGGCATCTTTGTATTGCATATAATTTAATTACACATGAAATATTATTTAGCTTCTAAAAGTTGCAGAAAATAAAGTAACTTCTTCATATAATGTCTTTTACATGATATGCCAAATTTTCATTATTGTCTTTCTGAATCATTTGAATAAGTTCATGTTAAGTTTATATACATATATATATATATATATATATATATATATACATATATATACATATACATATAAGACCAATTGTGTGGTCTCAGAAAATCCCTTAATTTTTTTGTTTTGAAATTTAAAATCAAACAAAATAACTTAATAATAAAATATTTTTGAAACATGTACAATGATTTGATTTTGTAAAAAGTATAAACTTAAGAAAAGCTGAAATTGTTGTAAATGACATAAATTTTGTTGTACATTGATCTCTTTTGATACACATGAAATTAAAGTTATGTGTTTGAGACATAAAATAGTAGTGTTTCAATTACAATTTGTATAACATTAAAATTACCATATTTAAATTAACACAGATATGTTATAAAATTGATTAATATTTTTTGCTTGAAAAATTAAAACTATGTAAGCTACAGTAAATTTTATACATACTGAGAATATTAACACAAACCTGAAGGATATGGGAGAGAAAAATATTTAAGACACACATCTATGAAATACATCTCAAATTGATTTGCCCAGTGACATTATTTCCAGAATAAGACTGTATTAAACTTTCAAATTCTCTACAGTTTTATGTTAGTTTGTCATTTTCGATAATCTTAGTCTATATATTTATATGAAATTAAAATTGCAAGTTGAATTTTTGTATGTAGACTAAGTTGACTCTTTGAGTAATTCTACACTTTTTGCAAATCACGATTGTATCTCACAGTTATCTTTTGAAATATGTGTAAAAGATTTTTTTATGGTTTTTTGTTTTCCAATATCAATTCATATATTTAATATGATTGATTTTGTATTTTTCTTTATGGAAATATCATTATTGAAAAGTGTATTTTCGAATATTTTTATGAATTATCAGTCATAATCTCATTTGTTTATGGGTTTTTATTTTAATTTTATTTCTTGTTTTTTCAATTAAAATCTGGGATACAATCTTTCTAAATCGAAGACTTTATTGTTTGCTCCAACTTTTCATTGCTTTAAACCTTGCAGGTATATATTAATCTGATTGAGTAAAACTCCAACAAAAAATTGTTACAAAAGTAAAGTACATTGAAAATTTGGAAAATTTGAACTTTATAATTACTATTTAAATTTTATTATTTTATATACAAATTTTATTGTTAAGAATATCAAACTATATTTTTGTTAGACTTGTTTGTTTCTATTTTATTTTGTATAACCCTCACAATTCATAACTGTTGTGTTACCATAGCCTTGTGTAAACATTGAGTAATCATAAAATACTCACAAATATCCAACTTTCAAATTCCATTATTTATTTCACTCAACTATTCAACATTCTTCAATTATTTCATATTTCCCATTATTCAATTATTTTCGGTTGTATTAAAACTTCAACTGCTTCAACACAACAATTGTAAAACAAGATTAAACCACAACATGTATTTTACAGTACAAATCTTCTGAAAATCTTTCTTTTCATCTCTACTCTTCTAACCAACCAAAGAAAAGCCATTAAAACAACGCACTCTCTACCGAGCAAAATCCTACATTATGGATGATTATGAGCAGAATAGGGGATTACAAAAAGCCTCGTGATCAACACTCTAAACCCACCTCCAAACAACGCCATTGCCATTTGCAGTCGCCTGACACGCCCCAAACCCTAAAATTCAAAACCCTAAATCACTGGAGTATTGCAGTGTGAGAAGATGGCTAAGGCTAGGGGAATTGGTTCGAAGCTACCGATGGCGGTCTCGATCATGCAGCTCCTGCACATCCACGCGACGGAGCGCAACTGTACAAACACGAACACACGAACACGGCATTGCGCAGGCAATAATAAGACAAAAAGAGAGGGGATGGGCGAGACATCAAGTTGCGAGAGAGGGGCAGGGTGGAGGGCGAGCGGGCCCCACAACTCGCAACGGATCTGCAATGTCCATCGCCAACCGCATCACACGGACATCGCAAGCGGACAGAATCCGGATCGCGCCTTAACCGGCTGGATTTAAGAACTAAAAGGTGTCTTTTGTCGTTTCACTTATCTGCCTCGCGGTCGCGGGAAAAGGTGAGGGATTCCGAGGAGTCAGTGAGACAGCACCGGACTCGATCCTTATCCGTGGATTTGGCGAGCCGCAGAATCTCCACACACGCTTGCGTCCTTTATTCCTTCGCTCCTCAGCCCAACTTGCAGCTTGGGCACAGGATCCTAACGCGGAGCTTTGTTTTGGTAAGCTGTATGCCTCCTGTCTTCTTTGAGTTGCTACTATAACACAGCTGCCTCTACCTATTTGTGAATGGAGTTGTGGGATCAATGCAGAAGCCTGCGCAGAAGGAGAGTTCTTTCATTACTCCGCAATAAATTTTATGAGAAGAAGTTTGGGTATAGTTCAGTGCGTTGAGCAGAACCAAGTTAGAGCCTGGTTTTCTGATCTCGCCAATAGATGAGCCAGTTGACGAAGTTGGGGCTGGAACGTATTGATTCTTCAATTTGAAGTCGGGGTTTCGATTTTCGAGGGTAGAGGTTGCATTGTGCAGTTGTAGGTTGTAGGTTATAAAGTGCGCGAGATTGTTACGTATTTGTGTCGCCATTCTGTAGAGTTCAGTCTACTTACTGAGGTTAGAACAATGGTAGAGAAAGCAGCTTCGTTGCCAATGTATGGCAAGCGAGGTGGCAACCTCCTTGCTCCTCTCAAGAAGAGCTCCTCTTGCATAGCCAAGAAATCTTCGTCGACACCTGACAAATCTGCTTGTGAAAACAGAGCGTACAAGGGCGTTCGGCTGCGGACGTGGGGGAAATGGGTGTCGGAAATCAGAGAACCTAACAAGCGATCTCGCATATGGCTAGGTTCTTTCCCCACCGCAGAAATGGCGGCGAAAGCTTACGATGCCGCGGTGGTGTGCTTGAGAGGTCGATCAGCCACATTAAACTTTCCAGATTGTCCTCCGCCATTGATTCCTCAGTCAAGAACTCCGCGAGACGTCCAAGCCGCTGCTGCAGCCGCTGCGGCGGCATGCGCACCCCCCGCCTTCGCCGACGACAAGCACCCACCGATGGCCACCGTCACATTTGAGAGCAGCAAATTAGCCCATCCCAGCCTCAGCTCTTCCTCCGACGATGAATCGCAGGAATCTGACGACGCTTATGACGGTGAAGACGCTGCTCCTGCGCTGATGAGCCCAACCACTCACATGGAAATCGCACCCGTGGAAATGTGGGTGAACACCGAATTCGGCGAAACGAAATCAGCACACGACGAGTTCGAATTCCTGGCAGAATTCATGTTGGATTCCGAGCCCCCCATGCTGGAGATCCCGTCAATTGTTGCGGAAGACGAAGTCATTTACGAGCCTTTTCTGTGGTCTTACTCTTGAATTGTTCTTCAAATTTCGACGCGTAAACTCAATGACAATCGCAGTAGAGATGCTCCACGACCGAGGGCTCGCCTGAGTCACTAATCGCAGCAGAAATCCTCAAGGAATTCTCGAATCCACTATACAGAATCGTCTGTGAAGCATTCGGAAGCTCGCCCATCGGCTCACACCAACGAGGACCCTAAACGCCGAGGGAACAAGAGGACTCGTTCACACCGGACTCACCCAATCGAGATCAGAATTATCTGGATTGTGTGTGTGAACGCACTGCGGGAGGGGATCGAACGCCACAACACACGTGGAGGGTTCGGGACCACTCGAACGGACCCCCTCTTGCTGACATGGCGAGGTTGGCCACGTGTCTGGTCATATTTGGCGCCGAACCTAGCACTGGCCACGTCGGATTGAGGCCCATATCTACGTGGAAATCGCATTTTGGGGTCGTTGAAGATACGGCAATTAGTATGGGTCGCTCCAATTTGTAACTAAATGAGGTTTTATTTTAAACGAAACATTTGTTTCTAGGTGATGTTATATGAATAGTTTGGAGTGGTTACATGGGTTATGAGTTGGATACTACGAATTAGCATTAAAAATACATTAGGAAATGGAATTCAAACATGGGGGATTTTCCAAGTGTATTTGGAAAATCAATCCCCCATGTGTGTGTGTGTGTGCATATATGTATGGTAGTTTTATAGAGAATTATTATGTTTTGTGTAACAAACGACAACATGATGTTCAAAAAAGTAACAAGGGCTGCAAGCATGGAGATGTGATTAAATTTAGAAATAATTATTTACATAGGTACCAAATTTTGTGTGTGTGATTACATATATGTATATATATATATATATATATATACATACTAGTTATCATGAAATCAAATAATGCATGTGAGAAGCATGACTCCATTTTAAGTAAATATATCTTAAGTAATTGCTGTGCCAAATACCACTTGGATCAAGGTTTGTGATATGTCTCATAACAAATGTATGTTCTAATTATCAAAATTAATATATTTATTAAATTATCAAAATTATCAAAATTAATACATTTATTAAACAAAATTATCAAAATATTTATATGATAATTATCAAATGTATATTTATCATAATTTTGTATATTTCATAATTATCAAATGTATATTTTACAAAATTACATATATATTCTAATCAAATGAATATTTTACATTGATACAAAATGTATGTTCTAATTATCAAATGTATATTTATATGATAATTATCAAATGTATATTTGATAATTATGAAATGTATATTTATCATAATCAAATGTACATTTTACAAAATTATCAAATATACATTTGATAATTATCAAATAATTAGAACATACATTTTATATGAATAATTTTGTACATTTGATAATTAGAACATACATTTTTTAAAAATTTGTTTCATTTGTTTTATTTTGTTTTGTTTCTGTTTTAAGTTACACCCTGAATAAATGGCAGACTTATAAACAATGGTTACAACATAACAAGAATAAATGAAAAGAAAAGAATCACAAATTATGTATGTTTTGTATTAATGATATACATTCAAATAAAAGTTTTTTTTATTGAATGATGCATTCCTTATAGATGAATGGAAAGTTTCAAAAACAAAAAATCCAATTATTTTAATTTTTATCTTTACATAGGTCAGAGCTTAAGTACATGATGAGCATTATTTTAAGTCTCACTTTTTATGATTGTAGTCAAGAAGTGATTGCAATCAATTTTTATGTGATTAGGTTTACAGGAATCATGTTTCAATACTATGTTAAAAATAATGTAAATAAAAAGTACATATTATTTTTAATATTTTATATTTTTACTACTCTATTCAAAAATTACCAAATAAATGAATATTTTTATTTTATTTTATTTTAAATGTCAATTATAATTGTGGCATAACTTTAATTTATATCTTATTTATAATTCTTTACAAACATTACATGATACCAAAATAGAATATTGATATAAATCATAGCTTTTTTTAATATTACAAATAAATAATTAAATTTATTATTATCAATTAGGATACTTATTGTTGTTTTCAAATTAGCTATTTCATTTCACACACACATGTACATGCATGTATTACAAGAGCAAAGTGTACTTTGGGCGAGGACTTAATTGTAGTTTTTATTTTTTTATTTTAATTTTTTTTATCCATATATAAAATTTAAATAATGTAGATTTATTTTATTTTATTTTATTTATTTTTTATATGCCTATCCATATTAAAAAAAGAGGGAGGAAGAATTGATGAGCCAAAATATAAATTCTTGATAATAAAATTCATCATCAAACTTCAAATCTCAAAATATGTATTCAATTGTTTAACTACAAATACCAACTTCTACCATTAATAACAATTGATGTTGTCAATTTCACAGTATCTATATTAAAATATATTTTATATTGTATTGTAGATGGGATAATCTTTCTAGAGGACTTTGTAGTGAAGTTGTGGATGTCCGTTGCCACAGTGAAAGTAGAAATACTCCAAAATGTTGTCCACTTCATATACTTATTGGTCATCAATCACAACTAGTGGTAGTTGGTGTCAGTTTGAAAAGCACCTTGGCTTGGTATAAAATTCCTTGAATTACAAAACATAGAAGAACAGATACACCTGAATATGTGGTAGAAGGTCAAGGAGGTATGCAACATCAAAAATCACTACAAAAATGCGAAAAGGTCCAAGCCACCCAAGTGCCAAATTTCGAATTTAGATTGATATAGCAAGTAGAAAGTTAGCATTGGAGAATAACACATGGTTACCTTTTCAAAAAATCTTGTATTACAAATGGTTATTTATATACTTCTTTTGTAAATTCTATACAGTAAAGGAGCAATGTTGTGTCTCTTGCAAGGTCATTATATGCTGTTGTATAAATTCTTCATTGTTGGGTTCTTGGTATGAATAAGACAATGAAGAGTTGTTGGCATAATTGCATGTTGATCAATATTAAAGAAAAATGGTGAATGACTATTATTTGTTTGAATATTATTATTATAAGCAAACTCCAAGGAGATCAAATATTCATCCTAGTTATTATGATGAACTCCCACAAATGCTCATACCATATTCTCTAAGGTCCAATTTGCACTCTCCATTTGTTCATTTGTTTGAGGATAGAAGATCATGGACATGACAAGTTGTATGCCTAATAGCTTGAACAAAGCCTACCAAAAACTTCATGTGAAGTGTAAATTTTGATATGAAACAATGACATGACATAATCTATGGTGACAAAAGACAATATCAAAGAAGACTTAGGTAAGTGCTAGGGCATCAATAATAAAGCACAATGCAGCCAAATGAAGTTGTTTCAAGACAGCAACCGCAGTGTGATTGTAAAGCATCTACAACAAATACATATTAAGATCCATATTCACGTATTTCCAACATACCATATATAGTAGAATTGGCTGCAATAGTCCAAGAAATGATGTATTGCATACTTTATTACATTGACATGACTCGCATGAGCATATAAAAGCTTGAACATTACAATCTTATGTCAAAGACAAGAACATGATAAAGACAAATAACAAATGAGACTTCTTTCAAAGAAAGATGACAAAATAGAATTAACTTGATATATATATTAAGAAAGAAACTGGAATGGCTATTACCAAAAGCCAAAAAAACTAGAGACCCTTGAAACTAAACTGGAAGTAAGAAAGGAGTTGACAAGAATGAAGAAGGCTTCACTCTTATCTCTATATATACTATCTAAATAGGGACTACGTGGCCACATTCTATAAGACCTCTAATATGTGTTGACTTTGTATGACATATGCTTTGATTTACAAGACAAGTTTTTCTACGTGTGGGCCACATAGTTAGTTTGGTTTTCAAGTTAACAACATATGTAACACATGGCCAACTTGTTGACCACGTTTCTAATCCAAAAGCCAATTAAAGACACCTATAAAGTCAAAGCAACATCTATGAAACTTCTAGAAAGCTTCCATACCAAATACTATAGAATTAATTTACTTTTACCTACTTTTATTTATTTCTACCTATTTATACATGTAATTATTGGCTTACATGTGTATGTGTGTGACATTACCCCCCCTCTAGGAACGAATTCTACGAAGAGCAATAATCATATGTTGAGGAAATCTATGATGCGACAAATTGTATTCGCCACATACTCTGATCTTTGTTCTCTTTGAAGATGATTGATAGTGCCTCTCAACCATCGGTAGTGTCTCATACCAAGGTGGGAAGACCACCCAATTATTTGATCATTGTTGATGCCTTTATAACTTCCTTCAAATAAAACATTTGGAACACCATCAGGAGATGTTCCTATCTCTACTAAAATCACCAAACATTGGAAGTCTCTTCCACGATGTGATACCAAACGCGTTGTATTTCACCATCTATTTGAGGAAGCATATATCATTCTTGAAGGTCTTCATCTCGATTGCATCATCTTGAAGGTTGTGACAATCCTAATATCTTGTTTGACATGTTAGCAAACAAAGGCTCTTGAGTCGAATCTGTTGGTTGTTGGTTCTCCATCTCCTAAGCATCACAACTACAAAGAAGCTTCAAAGAAGGATTGAAAGTAGAATGTTATCTTGCCTAGATCTTATTTTTTTTATAAAGAATATTTTCATCTTGATTTTGGTGGATGTCGACGATAAAAAGCCTTCACCACCTTTGCTGTATTTGCAAGATTCTTTACGGGCTTCCATGTGCGTTCACAAATATCATATCCATGCCAATGGATAAAATATTCTAATTTATTTCGGCACTGCCTTGAATCTAAAACTTCTTCCACTTCAAACTATTCATTATTGTCCACTTCTATAGGAGGAGGTGGAGCTTGTCTTCTTCTTGATATGTCCACTATCTTGTATGGTTCAAGAAGAGATATGTGGAATATTGGATGGATTTTCATTGGCTCCGATAGATGTAAACGATATGCAACTAGATTGATTTATATAGAAATAGAAAATGATCCAAGCCTTCGATAGTCCAACATGTCACAAGGACGAGTGGTCTTGATATTATGACAAAGTAACCATATCTTATTACCCATGTGGAATGATAGTTGTTCCTTTCTATAGACATCTGCATTGACCTTTTGTTGTTCTTGAGCTTCTTTTAACTATGCCTTCACTGTTGCATGTAGCTCTGACAAATGAATTGCTAAATCTTTTGCAATAGGATTATCAACTTTTAAAAAGTCAAAAGTATCAAGTCATAGATGAAAACCATAATTAGCAAAGAAAGATGTTTTTTTTGTAGAAGAATGTATCGTGTTATTGTAAGTAAACTCTACCAATGGCAAAAGAGTTGTCCAATCATCTTGTTGGTAGTTAATGGTACATCTTAAATACTACTCCAAAACTTGATTAATACGCTCTATTTGTCCATCAGTTTGAGGATGGAATGCCAAAAATAGTTTTATATGCACTTTTAGAATCTTGAAAATAGTTCGCCAAAATCTTAATACAAACTGAGTTTTCCTATCTGATATAATATCCTTGGATAATCCATGATAGCCATAGATATTATCAAGAAAGAGCTTAACTATTTCTTCACCTCTGATAGATTTTGTACATGGTACAAAATGTGCCATCTTAGTAAAACGATCCACTATCACGAGTATAGAGTCATAAGAACCTGAGATTGGAAGATCCGTGATGAAATCCATAGAAATAGAAGACCATGGTTGTTCTGAAATAGGTAATGGCTGAGGAAGTCCGTAAGGTCGATGAC